TCTGGCGCCACGAAAAAGGTGCAAGGGAGCGTCGAGCAACAGACTAATGAAGAACGGCGGAAGATATCGAGAGTAAAAGAAAAGCGGGTGAGAGGAGGGACCTCGACGACCAAGGTAATAAGTAGAGGATTGGGGGGAAGCAGGTGGAGGTTGGTTCAAGGTTGTAAGTGAAAAAGTGATGAAATTTGGGTGTTTGGTTCTTGGGACGGGGGTTGATGGGGCTTGATTGTCAGTGGAGAAACCTTAGTAGCTGCCCTGGCCTTACCATGGCAAGACAAGTTGCAAGGGCACAGGAACCACTACGTTAATTTCTATACGTTTTCTTTTATTTAACCAACTGGTTGGTTAATGAGTTAACTAGTTAGTTAATTATTTATTTAGTTCTTATTATTAACGACCCTTGGGAATATTCAGATTGAGCAATATGACTTCTCAATTCACCGATGGCTATATTTTCGGGCTTCCTGTGGCTCAATTCTCCAGTATCAATAAGGAGCGCAGCACGGAGTACCGGTCAGTGCCTGAGCAAACGGACCGTAACCCTAATTAAAGCTAAACTCAATATGAAAAACTCAAGCATCGCTTCGATGTAGTCACCATTATTTACTATATTTTGGGGGTGGCACACTCTCTCGATTGTATGCCCTGTTGAGGAGAACAAACATCTCTGGTGAGTTGATTTATCTATTGATTATAGTACTATTGATACCAAGGTCAATATGCACAGTTCTGTACATACATCACATGCTCCGTATATCGCCAGCAGTGAACTATACTTTTCATCTCAGCAGTTCTTGTTCTGGTTATATCCTCCATATATCCCCACCCTCTAAGTCTCTGACTCAATGTCGCCTAGATTGAAATGTTCGATATCAAACATACCGCATGGATACGCCCACCCACTCCTCTCCTAATTACCGCCATGTCGGCTGCAAGCAGCCGGCCGTCATACTGCAACATTACACTAACTTACATACACTAGGTGACTAATCAGTGCTTAAGAATGTTCCAGGATGGAGTACGGAGTATGGAGTAATAGCGTCATTGCTTGAGGAATGGTTGTGAGGTTAAAACTGGTACTATAGCGAATTTGAGAATTTGAAAAGGAGGTCCATAGCTCCCTGGGGTTGACTGAATGGTGATATTTCGGGCCAACTGACCATTTGGCCGCAGTTTATCTTTTCTTGCTCCCCAAGTAACAGTAAGAATTTTTGTAGCATATCAATCTCTTTCTAGGAGGTGTGTTTCGCTCTTGAAACCAATGATGACTGACCAAGACCCCATCAGCATTTAGCATCTAACTATAAGTTATTGGTCCCCGCTCTCGATGACACCGACCAGACGAATTGCCAGCGCACCACCAAATCCTTGTATCAATATTTCCTTCCTGGAGAACTGCCCACCTTTGGGCCAGGGTCAAGGACAAGAAATATTCAGGGAACGATGACTCCAACGACCAATGATAACATCTAGAGGGTAACTGCAGCACAAGGTTTTGATGCCGTTGCAGTGACTACATCAACTCTCCGGGGACTATCTGTCCTTTCCGGCCCTATATCGAGCCCGTTTACTCCGTGCAGCAGTAAAATAATAACTAACTGAGGTCTTGGAAACAAGCTTTGTAATTTCCATTCCCGATCGTCACATGAAACAGGGTATATTTCTCATTCTTTTTTGGAACTATCCAATGTTCAGATTCAAGGACGCTGGGGTTGAGTTGAGCTTCAACCGGTGAAAGCTTGAGCTAGATCCTTGGATTTTATTTTCAGGAGTCAAAGGAAAATATATCTGCTGAGAATGTGAACATCTGAATATTACTTTGCTTATTTCCCAGTATTTCAAAAGGTGAAAAGGAAGGAATCCATATTTCTCAAATTGGAATCAAGATGTCATGACTCTATTAGGATTCAGTCAACTTTACTAGTTATCTTCAATTATATTTTTTACTGACCTTTTGATGCTTCCGTGCAGGTGCTAAAAGAAGTTGAAATATCATTCAATATGTCATAAAGATGATTTTTTCACTCGTTGCATATTCTCTCTTCACATGCACCTTGAATATACTGCTGAAAGGGAGACAAGTGCTATGGCTCTCTTATTTTTCAATTTTGAATGTGTTTAGAGGTAAATGTGTTTCTATGTTTGCGCTAATGTAAATGCACTACTTCTGTGCATGTATAAACTCTGAGCTCAGCACTACCAACCTGAAACACCTCTTTATTAAATCGCCTTATACATTGAAAGGGGGGTAAAACTTAACAGCACATAAAAATGGCTTACAAAGCTTGAAGTAAAGAACACATCTGGTGTCAAAAGTTTATGTTACATGATATGTTTTGAAAGAGCAGAAAACCCTCATCTGTAAAATAAGAAATAAAAGAATTGAAAAATAACTAATCAATAAATTGCTTATCAGAATCATTAATCTTATATATATATAATCCTAACTCATCATCATTATTAGATGTTGATTAGATTACTATTTGAATTTGAATTTGAATTTTTAATGATATTGTCAATTCATATACATTATCACAATAAATTTTACTGAATATTGTAAAAAGTTAGCTAGTGAATATATAAGAATACTTGACTATATTGTTAATGTTATATTACTATCAAGTTATCAAATATTTAATAAAAAGATTACTTTATAGATATAAGCGTCACTCAAGAATATGAGTCTAATATTATGTTAAGCATTTAATCTTAAATTACGAGAAGTGTTATAAAGTTCAATTCCTCTTATAACTTGAACCAGCGACCATTGGATACTCTGACATTCAAAGTACATGAATAGTTTATGAGAAGCAGGACTTAGGAGAATAGAGGATTAAGAAGTGGTCGATTTATCAATCACTGCCCTCGCAAACCAAATCACTGTCCTGAAAGATTTTGGATTTGTAGGTGGCTTTTCAGCTTGAGCAGCGGTATCGGAAGCGACCTGATTCCGTACGGAGGCTCGGGTTATATCAGGACATGGTCGTTGTGTTCGTTTATACAAAAACGCTTATCCGATAAAACACATAATTTTATATCATCAAGAAAAGGACTCAGGGTTCCGAATTATGGGCATTAAATGCGTATAGACATGGATAGATTAGAATTTTGAAATTAAATTTTTATATTTTGGACCATACGAATTCGGGAGCACACAACCGAATATCCAGAATTTCCCTTCTCACGGGAACGTCAACAAAGTGTGCTGACAGAGTATTGCAAGAGCGTACAAAGGACATAGCTGGGATAGGTCGTATATTGGTGTGATTCTGACAGAATGTTTGGAATGGTTCTAGCTCCTCTCAAATATGGGGAGAAGATATCGACATCCATTTTGGGACTGGAGCTTGAGGACACAAACCAAGTGAGGAGAATTGGAAACAGGGCTTGTGTGCGTGAAGAAATCGCACCCAGCTTCCAGGCAATTCAATAGGCGTGTGAGTCCTGTAGTTGCCTATTGTCTTCAAGACGGACTTGCTGAATCAAATCATCAACCTTTTCGTCTCAGATCGAGGATTTTGGAGAGGTGAACAGAACCCTTTTGGCCCCAGCCAGTGATTCCACTTTCAATATCTGGACGAACTGTCACATACCAGGACCAAGCTCGTCCATCCATTTCGCCCTGACTGAGCACAGATACCCACGACTGGCACAGGAGATCAATCGCTCCGAGCAAAAGAGCTAGGGCTTTCTCCTTTTCGGATGTCAAATCTGAAGTAGATCGTTTCTTCTTTGCTGTATCTGTGGCCGAATCCATTGGCTTTTGGAACGTGAACGATTTTAGTAAATAATTGCGGGCTGCCTCTGGCCTGTGGATTGGGAGGATTGGACTGATCAGACGCGATTTTGGGGCTTTGCTATTTGACTTTCTCATAGCTTCCGGATCTAATCCCCACAAAGCAGGTTGTGTATCAGAGTCTTTGAAGCTGATGTGTTCGTTGTTTTCCATTTTGGGAGTCTCCAATTTATCAGAAAGATCGTCCGTAGGTTTCTCCGGCGGGGCCTTCTCATCCCAACTGTATCCCCACCGTTTCAAAACGTTGATCTCTCTTCCGAGGACTTTCACTGTTGGTTGTCCTTGACCCCATCCTTCGTCTTCTACACTTTTACCAGTCTCAATTCCAAGACTAACAGCTTTGCTCCGGCTGTTGGCACTGACAACCGCTTGAGCCAAGCTTAGTCTGCTTGATAGGGGCTGTTCTGGCATTGTATATTTTAACAGTACAACTGCAAAGGCGAGGACCAGAGGCGCTCGGTTTGTCAACAAGATAGTTGAAGTTATCTCGTCTACGTTGGTCGATAATGGAAGGACCAACGCAGATTCAAGCTGAGAGGCGGATGATGCATCTGAGCTTAAATCAGACATTTTAGATCTTTTTGTAGGTGAACCATCGCCCTCATGGGGACGTTTCTTTGAAGTAACTCTACGGGCAGCATTCGAGACCTGTTTTGCAACCTTCTCTTCACCCAAAATAGATTGAAGCGTTCTAAGATCCTTTTTCAAAATCTCTTCCGGACTAGAGACATGCTGTTAGCTACTGCTCTATGAACGAAAAAGGATATGTCTGTAATATATATGTATGATGTGCCACGCATACGTGATAAGATTGGCCTTCTGAAGTTCCTTCGCTTTTGCCATTGCGACAACGAGGGGCAGCTTCGAGTCCTGGGAAAGGAAGCGTAGCAATGCTTGAATTTGGGCTGGAGTCGTCATTTTCACTGATGGTATAACTCTTAACCTAAGCTTGATATTTGTGAACTTGACGAAAGATGATGCCCGTCTTACGTGTCGTTGGGATATTATTCCGAGGTTGGTTAACATAGCACACGCGCCTCGGCGCCTATTGAGTTTAACTAGCAAAAATGGCAACTTGAGACGAGCTCAAGGCTTGTCATTGAACCTCCGCTTGACGCCAAAACGCAATCTTCGAACCTTGAAGAATGAGACCACTCAATACACCGTCAGCATAATTAAGCTAAGCAATAGCTGCAATTGCAAAATGCCGGAAGATTTAAAAGTCAAGGGATTTCCTGATCTGTCGTCTAAGCTGTCCGCCCCCGCCAAGAAATCTCTGTTCGAGCGCCAAAAAGCGGAAGCTGAAGCCAAACGTGCAAGAGAAAAAGCAGAAACCGAAGCTGTCTACGAGGATTTTGTGAAATCATTTGAAAACGATGGCGATACGTCTACGCGCTCAAGCACTGGAGGGAGGACAAGTCCATATGGTCATGGAGGCAGCGGGCACACAGGTGGCCCGATCGCCCCTTCAAAAAGACATTTCACAAGTAGCACGATGAGATCCGGATCTGGGAATCTGGGAGGATCACATCCTTTTGGTTCGAGAAAACGACCGTTCGAAGCGCTACAGGCATCCCACAGGGACAGAGACCCGTCACATGGCCTTTTCGCTTTTGAGACCCCTCCCCCGGCCCATGTTGACGCCGCCGCAGCATTTCAGACTTCTGATGATGAGGATGACAAGCTCACAGACAAGAAAGAAGCGGAAAGAGCTGCAGCTAAGCCCACCCTTCATCTATCTTCGTTGCCGCCGGGAACGTCTCCGGCAGTTGTCAAGGCTCTTGTTTCACATGCACTCGTTGTGGATAATGTTAAGATCTTATCGGCAAGCGCCCAAGGAGCTGGAGAACGAAGGATATGGTCTGCAATTGTGACATTGGCAAAAGGAACAGCTGCTACTGAGATGGATACTGTCGTTAGCTCATTGCAGAATAAATATCTGGGATGGGGTTACTATCTGTCAATATCACGACACCTTTCATCAGCCGCCATCAACTCCACCATGCCAGTGGTAACCGGGTTAACTTCTTCCACTTCCCAGCCATTCGGAGCACGTCCAACAAATCAGGGCCCGGGAGGTCATTTTGGTCGTGGTGGAACTCCTGGTGGTCATCGTGGTGGCTTTGCGCCACCGTCGTCTTACGGGCCAGGTTATGGTGGGAGGGCTGGATCTAGTCTGCAAGTTGAGGTTAAACCTCCATCTGACCTGAAGCAGCTAAAACTCATCCATAAAACTTTGGAAAATCTCTTAACTTATGGTCCTGAGTTTGAGGCACTTCTTATGAGCAGAGCGGAAGTACAAAAGGACGAGAAATGGGCTTGGATATGGGACTCAAGGAGTCCGGGTGGAGTGTGGTACAGATGGAAGTTATGGGATATCTTAACGGGCGCAAGAAGAACTAGGAAGAGACACTCACGAATGCGACCTTCTCCTATTTCTGTTTTCGAAAGTGGACCAGTTTGGATACCCCCAGAGAAGCATCTACAGTTTGAGTATGTTACGAAAATGGAAGAGTTTGTATCCGACGAAGATTACGATTCTTCAGATGAGGATGATTCAGACAGGGAGGATGAAAGACGTCTTGATGGCGGAACTTTAGAAGGTAATAGTGATGGTATTGGTCACTTAAATCCCCTCCAGAAAGCAAAGCTCGCACATTTGCTTGCAAAACTCCCTACTACAAATTCGAAGTTGCGAAGGGGCGATGTCGCTCGCGTCACCTCATTTGCGATTCACCATGCTGGACACGGCGCTGATGAAGTTGTGGACATGATCGCTTCTAACATTACCAAACCACTTGCTTTTACTAGCGCTAACCCGGAACGCCAACGACGGGAGACGGAGCTTCGTGGCGGTAAACCTGAGGAGGGTGATGAGGCGAACACGGAGCAAGACAACCAAATTATCCCATCTTCCACGAAGCCATCAAAAGAAATTTTAGATACTTCGTCTGCTAAGCTGATAGGCTTGTACGTAATCTCTGACATCCTCTCCTCGTCATCTACAAGCGGGGTGCGGCATGCCTGGAGGTATCGGCAACTATTTGAATCAGCCCTAAAATCACACAAAACCTTTGAGCATCTTGGACGCTTGGAGAAGGAGTTGGCTTGGGGTCGGCTGAAGATCGAAAAATGGAGGAGAAGTATTGGCAGCCTTCTATCTCTATGGGAAGGCTGGTGTGTTTTCCCTCAGTCAAGCCAAGAAACATTTTGTTCAGGTATTTGAGAAACCACCCCTTACGGAAAAAAGAAAAAGTTTGAAGAACAGAAGCGTGCAGAAGCGGAGAAATCTACAAGTGTTTTTGGTAGCAAAGGAAAGAGTAGATGGAGAACGGTTGACGAAGAGAGCAATACAGCACCCGCAGATACCGGAAGCGGTTTGGAAAGCGAGAAAATGGACATTGATGTTGATGATGATGGGGTGCCGATGCCCGATGACGATGATGTTGATGGGGAGCCTATGGATGACGACATCGATGGCATTCCGATGGAGGATAGTGATGTGGAGGACCTGGATGGTAAGCTGGATGAGAATGGTATGGACGAGAGCGAACCACCCAGTGCGGCAGGGGGCGTAACTTCTCACGCGTCGGGCGACAATGCAGTTACCGAAGCCCCTCTTAATAAGCCACCTGAGACTGAGCGCCAACCAGCTCCTCGACGTCGTCGACCCAAAGCGGAAGACATGTTTGCGGATTCAGATTCCAACTGATGTTCATTGTGGAGTACTCATTTTCAGGAGCGCTAGGGTCTCTTTCATTTCAGCCCTTTTATGTACAGTACTGATCCCTATTCTTTTTTTTTTTTTTTTTTTTTTAAAAAAAAAGTGATGTAGATTGTATCCAATACATTTTATTTATTTTAGACATCCACATCCATATATCTTCTCAATTTGATTTTATATAATAAGTTGAAATTTCTGATAGAATATATTATGGCAACATCGCGAAGAATTTAGGTACTGCGAAGCTAACCCCTTTTAGCAATGTTTGTTTTCGCTTGAGTGCAAAAACACTTTACTACACTTCTCCATTCTACTTGTAACCCCACTACAACTCATTCCTGGCAGTCAATCCTAACCATCGACACTGGCGGAGATTTGATCAAATAGGCGTGACACATAGACCAGGGAGTTTCTTCTATAAATCCTATACAATATGACAGGTGAGTTTATGATTCATTTGTCCTGTGTCCTTCTTTCTCGTCGTGATTTCCTTTTGCGACCGATCCTCTATCCTACAAGCAACCATTGTTCCAACATCTCTCCTTGACATAACCGGCACGAGTATCGCTAACGGATATCGCTTTCCTATAGACTACGCAAGTGTTGCTCGTAAGACCTACACACCTTGACCTTTTATCACTAGTAATCGGGCAGAGCTGTTTGGGATAGATGGGACCTCTCTGCTAACGACCCATTCTCTGAGTAGAGGAATTCGTTTCCTTCTATTATAACACTTTCGATACCAAGCGAAGTGCTCTTCGAGACCTTTATGTATGTGAGGAGCAGCTTAGGAACGATTATGATGTATGTTTGGCTGATGATGAGGGTTACAGCGTCCCAATTCGATGTTAACCTTCGAAACAGCCTCTGTTCAAGGCACCGACGCAATCATAGAACGACTTACGGTCAGTACGCAGCAGTGGCTAGAGTGATTTTTAAATTCTATTTCAAGTGTATTGATTCTGGTCAACTAGGGCTTGCCGTTCCAAAAGGTTACACATGTCCAGTCGACTATCGATGCACAGCCAACTGAGGAGGGCGGGGTTGTCGTTCTCGTGACAGGTGCCCTAAACGTGAGTTTCAATCAGCTTCTGCTCTTGGAATGTCTCCTCGACTGCTTGTTAATGCGGGAAATATCGCGAAATTCTAGGTTGATGAGGAACCAAAGCCGATGAACTACACGCAAGTCTTCCATCTCCGTCCCAACGGGACAGGAAGCTTCTACGTCTTCAATGACATCTTTAAACTCGTCTATCCCCAATAAATATTGATTCCACCTATCGAAGTACGAATGGGAGTCGGAGATGGAAGTGTTGCGAGGGGTATTTTGGTGTGTATAAAATTTCGATACCACTATTGGTTTTTTAATGGTGTGGCCGGGAGCGTTGTCCAGAATATATGTCGGGAATAATATGGTCCACGCAGACGCTGGCCACAGTGCTTCCTACCATAAAAAGTAGAACATGTGGTTCACGTCTCTCCCGTTGCTACTGTCCATTTCCGTTTTATTTTAGATCTGGGGAAGGAATGCAAATACCAGCAAGGATATTCTATAACAATCTGCTATGTCATCGACCATCTCCTCCCGGAACCGCGTTGAGATCGAAAGAACCTATTGTCCTTCCTTCAAAATTGGCTGCAAGTGAATGTTGTAGCTCTACCCAGTTAGTATATAGAATTGTACGTACATTACCTGGGGCTCGATTAGCCGCTAAAAGGTCTCACATAACTATCTATTTAAAGCTCAAGTCGCAGTCGGGTTACTACTTCACAGTGCCCCAGCTCCGTAGGCAAACATATGCTGCGCCCAGCCATTAATTGACAAATATCCCCATCATTTGCGTGTTACACGATTGGTATCTTGGTATCATTCATGTCCGTCTTCAGGGAACAATTTTATGTGGCAGTCTAGCGACAACCCATGGAGTCTGCGCGCGTGAGGTTTGTTGTTGTGGGTTGACCCCAAAGCTGCACGGGTGGTAGGCTTGGCGTACTAAAATAGGACTAGCGCCAAATCGTCAGCAACGACCCAGAACCAGGGTTGAACCTGATCAGGCCATTCATGTCTCCAAACAGCTCATCTCACCACACGAACCACTTAATTCAAATACCTACTTTCATCCTGACGAACTCTACTTACCAGTTTTCGCGCAATTATACTCTTTCTCAACAGCCGCAAACCTAATTCGTAACCCGAAGAGCGACCAGGAGTTCAAACAACTTTCTAGACAAGTTGTTTGTTCCGCCACTTTGCGCATCGCTTATCAAAAGGCATCAGCAAGACAAAGATATAATAGAGCTGGAATCCGGACTGCTAGATTTTTCGCTTGATCTTCTCCTTCACTTAATTACATTGGATTTCCTGGTGTGTGCTGCGCAAAGAGCATCAAATTACATCCTTCCCAAGCCGGTTCGGGGACCTAATACGTTCGACATTTCGTGGTTTTTGAGACCTCCAAAACTTACCGAGACCTCAAAACTTGCCCTGACGTAAATCACCAACTTCTAGTCTGTCAATCTCTGCGAACGGCATACTCTCGATTGTAACCAACTGCGAAACTCATTGCTTAGGTGGACACCTTGTCTCGACGGAATCCCGAAGTCCTTCAGCGCAAACCGGAGCTGAGCGTGAAGTTTCATCAACAAACAAATACCGGTCTTTCTCGGGCAAGTTCTATACAGTCTTCAGAATGACAATCGCAGAAGAGTTCAAGTCAAGGAATTTCAGTAAGACTTCTTTGATTTCCCTGTTATGCCACGACGACGGAAGGGCGTAAACTGACCCTGGACAGGTATTTATGGGCAGTGGTTAGTAAAGCAAATTTCAGCAGCCTTTGTCGCTTGTTCGAAACTGGATATAGTTGTTTGGCTATGTTATATGCGTATCGTGATTATCCTAAAGAAATTGGCAATTGGAGCAGGTGGTCGACTTTGGGACAGACCTCAGTGGATGAGTGGTCTATCGTTAGCCACGGTCTTGGCCTGTCTGAATTAACTAACCTGACTTCCTACAGGACCGGTGTTCTATGCATACTCCTATGTTTTGCTCTGGGAATTGCGAATATCTTCCACATCAGAGTGATAGCTTTTAGTATAGTTTGCTTGTAAGTGGCATCATTTGATAACCCCCCCCCCCCCCCCACCCCCCCCCCCCTTCCTCTAAGATAGCGCCGTTATCTAACATAGCCATATAGAGCATCATCATTCCTTCTCATCTTCGTGGAAATCCCTCTCCTACTACGAATTTGCCCGACGTCGTCTAAATTCGATGCATTTGTCCGACGTTTCACGACAAACTATATGCGCGCTCTGATGTACCTCATCCTCAGTGTTATTCAATGGTTGAGCATTATTGTCGATCCAACCAGTCTTATTGCCGCCGCCATCTTTCTCTTATTAGCAGGCGTTTTCTACCTACTGGCCGGCCTTACAAACCAAGAATTCATGAGTAGCAAGACACTAGGTGGCCAAGGTGTTGCGCAGATGATTATTTAGGATGGAAATTACCCCTCTATTTGTTAAATCTCACAATATACGATACTCCCACAAGCGCAAATTTTCAGTGGACCAGCGGCAAACGTTCAACATGCTCGTGTTGGCATGCTTAGTTTGTGACGGCTGAACGGGGAGGAGGAGCATTCAGTATGTGACTATTGCCTTTGTTTGAGATTATGATGATTAATTGCTAGTATTATTGTACTCTATATGATTTTATTTTGCTCCTCGTGGTGAAAAATGACTTAGGAATATCATTCCCGAATGCCCATATTCTGGTTTTGTTGCTTTTGCTTTTTGAATTAGTTTGTCCCTCTCTCTCTCTCTCTCTCTCTTCCCTCCCCCCCCTTTTCTTCATTTATTCATCTATTTTTCTTCTTTTCTTCTTCATTTTTTCTTGGTGGTATTTGGGCGTACCTTTTATTTACTGTTACCCTCTATGGTATGTGGGTTTGGTTTTTCTTGGGCTCTTTTAGTTTGTTGTAACCCATCGTCTGCCGATTTTAGGCAGACAGCTCCTCGCGTAGTAAAGGCGTGGATTAATGAAGTGAAAAACCCTCAAATATGGGCTGGACACAAGAAGTGATGTTTGCTTGCCATATGGAGTCGTTACGAATTTGAATTCACCTCTGCAGAATCCTTGGGGATGGGGGCCTGCCTGCATGACGCTCTCATATGTTTCCTCGTCGGATACGAATAATGATATAGTCGACCACCACCCGTTCTCTGCTATAGTCGCCAACAGAGCCCTAAATCATATACATCTCACATATATCAAAAGAGATGTGCTGTTGCGATGTCATAGAGAACCAATATCTCAAGTAAAATCTTTCACAAAAGTTGGAATGACATGAAGGACTGATTCAGAGTCAGGAACTTGTTGCCTCATTTTGGTACCAGCTAATTCACAAAACACCTTTTGAATCAAGGGAAGCTAAGGTTAAAGCTTGAACAGAGTTTTGGGGTAACTCGCGGCGGATATCTCTGAACCTACCCACCAAAGGAGAGATCCATTCAGGCGGCAAGTAATAGCATGGTTCAAACCAGGGAAATGCAATCCCTACCATCAACCATAATGATGGGGTTTCAAAAGATAAACTATCCAGTGTTACTTGACAGGACATGCTCTGGGGATGCAGTCTTATATGTTGATACTGAAACCAATGAATGACAACAATGATAATAGCATTCTCAAGACTTTCTTGCGAAGACTTGGAAGACCAACAACAATCAGACCCAGGAGTAAGATCGACCAGACAGGGCAAACGCCCGCAATTTCTCTGCTCAGGTGTAAGCACAACGGCACCACCAAAGGATTCCAATGTTGTTGACATAATTGAGAAATGTGGCAACCTTAACAGCGAGAGCCAGAGCGATAATAACACTCATTCATACCACTCCATCTCAATTGGATAGGACTGCAAAGCTGCATACCCTATTTCGGTTCTTATGGGGTTGATATATATGTACACCATGGATGCATCCATGCAACCCAGCCTGCGAAGAGGATAGGAAGGGGTGGGTTAGCAATTTGTTTTTCCGGATTGGAGGATGTTTTGGAGGATTGCGTTGAATGCGGTATGGGAGATGCAGGGAGACACTGCTTGACTGGGGATTTGAAAACATCGGACCGTGAAATTGAAACCCGTTGTTGTTGTTGTTGTTGTTGTTGTTGTTGTTGTTGCTCATTGCTGGTATGATTTACTTCGTGTGTGCAAGCTACTGTATGCTGCGCGAAGACGAGATCCATACCCCCCGGTTAGGCTGATAGGGGTGTGTGGCTGGCGTGGTCGGCTGCGCCATACCGACGGCTAAACTGACCCCTCGCATCGAGGGAGTTCATGCCAACAGCCAAACCATGCCTGAGGTGTGAATACATTTACACTCTTTCGCCTCAAAAATCTGTGCTGCCTTCTGAGAATGGCTGAGGCGCATATATGGGAATTCCCACCTAGGGCATGGGCACTCGAGTTAAGAGGCCAAACAACATAACTAGTTGTCCTAGTGACTCATAAATTATGATCCTTTTTCAGGATGCCCTATTTAGTGTAAGGCCCCATGACTCCAATAAACAGTCCTTTGGGGTTGGTTCCACTTCACCCTTCATGAACTTGAAGCCAGAAGACGTTCAGATGAGATGACTCCTTAGGCTCTCAATCAGGCTGCCTGTGCTGCTTACATCCCCCCGCCTGGAGCTAAGATGGATCCCTGGTGTCTGCGGGTTGCGGCTCATCCAGTCATTCTCCACCAATGCGTTGTTAGTGACTCTATTGAGCTCTGCTGCCTGCCAGCTCTAGAGGGAAACCAACATCGAGGAATGATATATTTCGCTGACTCGAAGAATAAACCATAGAATGAATCCTTCATAAATCTCAGCTATTCTCCCAGTTCTTTTTTGTTCTACTTTCGCATTTCTCGTTTTACCCTCATTAGCTCTTAAATTTAATATACCGAGAGCTTTACATCTATCGATCCACCGTAAGATTCCGAGAATTTTGCTATGAGGGTTTCGCTTGTTCCTCTTTTCTTTAGATAAATCTATCCTGACAACCGCAACTATGGGTTGTTCTAATTCTACTCATGTGGGCGAGGAATCCGACGCTGACCGGAGGGCGACCAAACCACTGAACCCCTCTATCGCCTCCACCCTGCTCCTGAATTTCCATTCAGAAACACTTGAAGCTCCTTCGCAAACAGGACTCTCTATGGAAGACCAGCTGGCTGTGGCAGCAGTTACAGATGCATATATCGAGGAGACAAGAGAGTTCGAAATGACCCTGATGGAGATAACGAACGAAATATTCACGGAGCAATATGGAGATCCGAATGTAGCCGCATTTTACTATGTTCCAGAAGGCACCGCTGTCCCGGAGGAAAAGAGGGAGCCTGCTAAGGAGTGTCGCGTCTGTTTCCAGGCTGTTTCCGTCTACGCGTCCATGCTGTATCCATGTAAAAGGTGTACAGAGTTTACTTGCAGTGATTGCCTTCGGAAAATGTTCACCACAGCCTGTGTTGATGAGTCCCGGATGCCTCCACGTGGCTGCTGTGGTCCGCTAAACATTGGAGTGGCTGTCTCTGTCCTTACTTCAGAGGAAATACTTCGGTTCAAGGCCAAGCACGAGGAATGGTCGACGGCCAACCGTGTGTATTGTCCAGTCCCTACATGTTCTGCCTTTATCCCCTACAGGCTCTTTCCCCCTGATTACCACCCGACTGCTCTAAAACTGACGAAGCCGGAAGTGAAAAAGAACCCACCATCAACCCTCAGCCCAGCACAACTACAGACTCCGCCACCCACTCCTCCTTCCCTTTCCCCCTCACCGCCTCCACAGCCTGCATCTATATCTTGCCCAGAGTGCGCCATTGAAATATGTTGCGCATGCAAGCAGATGGCTCACCTTGGCGCTTTGTGCCCTGAGAATGCAGGAGAATTGGATCCCGAACTAGCTAAGCTCTTGAAGCAGTGGAAGGTCAAGCGCTGCCCTAAGTGCCGTGGAGCAGTAAGGCGAATGTATGGTTGTAGCCACATAGCCTGCAGATGTGGTGACCAATGGTGCTGGCATTGTACTCAGCCTATCGAATGGTGTCATAAATATGGTTGTATAGATGACATAAGTGAGGACGATGAGGAATATGATTCATACGGTGACGGCGGAGATAGCGAGAATGAGAATGAAACTAGGAATCAGGGCGAAGGTGAAGCAGCTACTGCGATCAGAGACCTGGACCGAGGCGGTAGGTATCGCTGGAATGGTGGAGACCATGACTTTGGCGAAGAACCCGTTTTACACCATTATGACCCCTTCGATTGCTACCACAGGTGGACCAAGGCTGAGACTTCAGACGTTAACGATACGCAGAACTACGCCTGTGAACGGTGCTGGCGTGACATTGCTCCCCGCCAATTTACGTATCCAGAAGTGGCAGAATTGATGGAACAGGGTTTCATTTTGGAGAAGCCCATTGTGGATGGAGAAAACCACGAGATTTCAAATTTGAGGCTTTTTCTCTGCAATCGATGTATGCTGATGCTCTGTGATGACTGCCAGGTCGCCAACACCGCGGACAAGGTAGCTAGAAGACAGTGGGAAAGGGTGTAGGATGATGCATGAATTGACCTGGAGTCTGTGCTTTACGGGTTTTGGCGTTTTTTGTACGAGGTGATGATGATCTTGATCTTCTTATTCTTCTTTCTAATCTTCACATCCCCTTGGCGCTTTGCAGGCGGATGTTGTTCCCAACAAATATTTCTTTTCTTTGCTTCCTTTCTCCTTCCATATAGCTTATTCCCACGTTTCCCACTGTTATATGACAGTTTACAATAGGGAGCCCTCGTCATCTGTCTATTTATTCCCTTTTTCACCAGGCGGAATAGCTGTTATCCAAATCCATTGGCCAGTAGGGAGTATTGTTGATTACTAAAACATTGAGGGGGGGAATATTATGTCATCCAGGAACGTCACCCCAGATTTCGGACTTTATGTTGAACAAAACATTTCAATCGATCTTCAATTGGGGTTGTTATACAATATACCACCCATCAACTGGCCCCATTCCCAACATGAATATACCATCTTCTTCCATCCATGTCCCTTTCCGCCGTACCGCGTATCAATGCCTCCGCCAAACCCAACTTTCGAGCCGCATGCCGTTCCATGGTGTTCAGCGGCAGCACCTGCACCAGCATCAGCAGTGTCGTCGTTTGTCCGCGAAGGCCACCCCATCAATGTCCCGGTTTACTGTGAACCCCCAACGCAGAGCTAGTGCACAGATCTCTGCCAACTCTGTTCAACAGTATAGGCGGACTATAGTGGTATGTCTGGCTGGCATTGTCGCCAGCGGCCTGGGAATGTATGCCGTTATTGCATCATCGGAGTTAGATAAAAATGTCCCGAATGATAAAAAGGTTCCTTCGACATCATCGCAATCAGACAGAGGTTCTGGTATGGGTAGAATTATCAAACTTGATGGTCCGTCCGGTCTAGAGGAAAACCCAACAACGATCGTAGTCGATGGCGTCGAACAAGTTCCCACTGGAAACTCCACAATCCCCAATTTCCCCAAATCCATCAAACTTCCCGACAGCAGTTCCCAGCACATAGATAGACGAGTGGGCGATGCGTTTTCATCCAACTCATGGACGGAAGAATACACGTTAATCGGCCTAGGTATTCGCACCGTCTCCTTCCTCAGCATCCAGGTCTACGTCGTGGGTCTCTACATCGCCAAATCAGATATTGCAGCTTTACAACAACTGTTGGTCCGAAGAGCTACAACGCCCGTAAGCGTTTCTGCTGTAGATGAGAGTGCTGTCCCTGCCACCTCCCTCATCTCAACTGAGCGAGAGACGTTGAAGCAAATGCTACTGGACCCGGAGCAAGGGGAGGAGGTGTGGAATCAGATTCTTAGGGAAAACGGGATCCGCACTGCGCTACGCATCGTTCCTACGAGGAATACGGATTTCCTACATCTCAGAGATGGCTGGGTTCGCGCTATTACGGCACGGGCACAGAGTGCAAATGCACATGCCAAGGCCCTCGCGGCGAAGCAGGGTTCTGGAATTCCGGCTGGCGCAGAAGTAGCGTCTGAGTTTGCGGATGAGAGTTTTGGGAATGCGATTAATGACTTTAAAACGCTCTTTGGTGGCGGGGTAAGGAAAAATGTACCAAAAGGTCAGATGCTGTATCTTCTTCGGAACAAGGTGGGCGGGTTGGAGTCGATGTTTGACACTGGGAGTGGAAAGCCGATGGTTTGGTTGGGGGAGGTAAGGGATGAACGGATAAGCCGGTTGTTGTGGGTGGGGTATCTGGCGGGAAAGAAGGTCGCGAGCGAGGGGGCAAGGAAGAGTATCGTTGATGGAATTATGCAGATCGTGGAGAGGCCAATTGGAACTGTTGCACAGAGAATTGCGTGATAGGATGGGGCTCTGGAATTTTTAAAATAGAATACTAAATTTTGTTTCCTGTTTTATATTAAGGAGCGGAGGGGAAGAAATTACCTACGCAGCATGTTGTGGGAGGTATTCTCTTCTCAAGATATTGTATTATACTCCTTGTTTGCCTTTTAAAAGTCTCCATGCATATATGATTTGGATAGCCAAGACTTGATGTAAGTCAGAATGGATGGGTTTCATGACATGCAATTGCTATTTCTTCTCTGTTGTTGTGTATACCTTGCGTGTTGTTAATGTTGCTGATAGCAACTCAAATTATGTACGGCGTGAAGGGGGGAAATTTTTTTTTTTTTTTTTTTTTTTTAAAAAAAAAAACTCCCAATTAACACAACTCAATTCCATAGAAGTACGAAGAACAAAACCATTTATCCCGTTGACTTATCCCAAATCAATCTATCGAGGTATTGCTTGCATCTACCCGCGAGGGTATCCATGTTTTCTCCCCAACACCACTGCGCCCGTTCTAATGCCATTGGACGTGAAGAAACAGAATAACCTGGTATAGTAGGAGGGTCCTCATTTATTTACTTGGTGTATCTTAGGCATTTGCTTTGAGAGCTTCTGCAGCTCGCAGGAGGGCGGGAAGCTCAGCTTTGCGGGCTTGCAGGTCGGAGTTGCCACCAATGTGTTTTTTGCCAATGAAAATGTTGGGCACGGTGCGCTGACGGGTGATATCTTGAAGAGCGTATTGGATAGCGGCGCCGTCCTCTGGGTTGCATGACTTTGTTAGCATCAGGAACTCATATTATGTATTTATCCGGTTGGAAGTGGAAGGAGAAGGGAATGGTAGTGACAGGAGACTAGATTGAGAAGTTAAAATCGTACCGATTTGATCCAACTCTAGTGCAAAGAAAGGTATGCCCAGTTCGGTCAAAAGTGCCTTCGAGGCTCTGCTGTAGGAGCAGTATGATTTCGAGAACACAACTGTAATAGATTATTTCGGACTTATTGTTAGCTATATTACCCTTCCAGCAGAGGTTTTGGGCCGCTTTGAGGTTATGAGGAGGAAATGGGCAATGGGGTTGTTCTAATTAAAGAACAATAGCACCAAAAACAGGTGTCGAACGAAGTTCTTTTGCTTCATAAAGATATTGACGACCGCGCGAGACGCAAATTGCGGAGGTAGGGAATTAAAACGTACCAACACAGTGATCGGCAATGATGCTCTCAACCTTGGTTTTTACAGCCGACATTGTTGCTGGGTTTGACCCGGCAAGGGAGCCGAAAAAACGACGGAATATGGAAGCTATGTTGGGCAATGGGTTTAAGGCTCAAATGCCTTATCTTTATCAAGGGGTTATAGAATGAGGCTTGCAAACTAAGTATCTAATGAATGTTTGTTGATGATTGTGGTGATGACTGATGTTGATGTTGATGTTGTGAGATGAATGTTTGCGTCAACAAAGCTGCAGTGTTGTTTTTGTCGTAAGGCAATCTAAAAACTTTCAGCTTTGTAACTCAAGAGATGCATAATTTTTTGCTTGCAATACTCAACTAGTTCGTTAATTAATATTTTAATTTTGTAAGAACCATTGCTGCAGCATGGAATTCATTTCAGTTTTTATTAATAGCATAAAAGTGTATTAAACTACTGAAATAGAAATAAACAAAAGTGGCTCATATTTCCCCAGAGTTTTGCCACTGTAACCAACTGTTTAAGTAGTAAAAGCAATGACCGCATCGAGGCCGAAATAGCACCAACTTCAATGTTGTCATTGCCAATCGGGAGAAATGGAATGACTATCTCTTTCCAATGACATACATAATGACATGGATGGGGGCACCATCCTGGTTCAAAGCTAGCTCATTCATGTCCCAAATTGTTGGTAAGAATAACTCTCAGCATGAGATCTTGCATTGCTCACCCCTCTTTAACTAGTTAACTAGTTGCTTAATTGGAGGAACAAGGTGATTAGTAATTAGACATGTACGCATTTTAGAGATGACCTAAATTTGAACTATGATTTGACTTGTAAATCGACGTTGGATCAATTATTCAAAATGAAAAATGAAAAGAAGGATAAAAGAAAAGAACCATCTTTTATGATATCCCATTTATCATTCTTTCTCACTCCTGGGAACCCCCAGACCTCTCAAAGCAGAACATTTCCCTGTCAGCCAGCTGGTAAGGTTGTAAAGGAATCAATCATAGGTTAAGTCCTCCAGACTCTTTCTCTCAATCCCCAAGTCACCGAAATGGCAAAAATTTCGTCCTAGCACAATGCATATTTCAAAATATGCAAGTCTACTTTGGAAGTCATGGTCAGCCCGTTAACCCCTCCCTTTATTCCTGCTTCAGGAGGGGTAAACGATCCCTCTTTGGCCGGGAAAACGTACTGCATGGCAATGCACTGTCTCGGCCCCTTTGAGAAAGTCACAAGATATTGGTCCAGCGATGGGTCAAATGCATCAGGTTGCGGGGAAGAGCTTTTCATCTCGGTGCATCATCCATGAACTCGTACTGACGATTGTCTACGCCATTGTCAATGACCAGAGTGGACTGCACATATTATGCGCACTAGAAAGGCGCACAAGGAAATTGAACTTAGACGTACACCAGCAGGAACGTTGTAGCCATTGAATTCGGCGCCAGATTCGGGAACGACGCAGGGAAGCATTCCGAGTACGCCATATGATAATCTGTCAAAGCAGGTTCAGCTCTAATATTTTCTTTCTAGCAAATAGGATGAGATCTAACCGAAGGCCCTCTTTCACGACAGCAGTCTATATTGCACCATCTCAACGTTAACAAATTCCCAGCACGTACAATTCTTGCCGTCTGTTGGTATGGAGGGCGACGTGGAAGCAAAATATCAAGCTGATCAAGTATGGTAACTGCTCCAGTTTCTGAAAACCCAGTTCTGACTTTGGAAGGGGAAACTCCTTTGTCAGCTCTGCCCTCAGCGTTTTGTACATCTTCCTGTTCGCAACGACGTTGTGCACTGTGGTCGTTGGCGTATCCCCAGTCAATCGCGACGCAACATCAATAATGTTATGTTCTTCGGGACGTGTTTGGGGAGAGAAGGGGTGCCAGCGCTGTACGCTTGGTGAGGAATGTTTCGTCATTTGGGGTTGCAAAGGGGCTGGGTTCTATGGCGTGTCCTCCCGGGAGAGACTTATAAAATGACTGATATTTGGAGTATTCGGTATCGGCATGGTAGATTCTGTCATAGTTTGCCGGTTCGCCAAGGTAGATTTCGGTCGGAGAGATGCGGATTACCGGACCTGTCGAATGTGGCTATGTCTAATTCGGTACTCAGTTTGGAGAGTTTGCCTACCATATTTCAGATGCCGCTTCTTTGTCTAAAGATAGAGTTTGCCGCTACGGATCCGTTGTGATAAACGACATAGAGGTGTGTTGCAGCCGCCAGTCGTGGGCCGGGAATAAGGGCCAATGGATGGAAATATAAACGGTAGACGACGACTGCTACCGCGGATGAGAATGTGACTGTGGATACCAGGGCAATGGCAAACAGCCATGCTGGATGGAGATGAGCGGAGGAGGTCCTGAACCGTGGATTCTGTGAATATTGTCATATTCTGCCTTCTCTTTTCCTTTTTCTTTTCTTTATAAAAGGGCCGTTGTTCACTTTTGTGTTTTATTTTTAAGAAATTGATAACTATAGAAGAAAATCTCAAGCATAACGCCACAAGGAGGAGTGGTGACATGTTGGCATTTATTCAGATGGCGCCTGCTGAGGTGGTGACCGTCCATGTCTTGAATTTCAAAGAAAAAGGAATTTTCTGGGGAAATAAACGGAGGCCTCGACTCCTCACCCACCGCACTCATCACAGAGAATTTCATGCATGGGAAACCATGAGGCATGGCATGTTTGCAGAAGAATGGTGGAATCGATACGGAAGAGGGTGAACAAAAGGAGCCAACGAAAAAGGGACAGAAGTGGTTTGCTGAGGTAGAGATGTAGCACCTCAACACCAGCTGAGCTCCAGGTATCAATCCTTGTTAACCAATCCGATGCTATTAGTTTCATCTTAAAAATGAGGATGTATTCACGCGAGTTGTTGTTGTTGTTGTTGTTGTTGCCCGATGTTGGTTTTTCGCTGGTTCCACAGCGAATAATGCCGCTTTGCACTTGTCTTTTTCAAATTTCATCCTCTCATTAAAGACCTAAGAGGGAGAGAGATGAGCGCCCGAAGGAGATTGGCGAGATCGATTGCAGGAAGCAGTGCTGGGTACGGGGTGCGGGGGGTAATTGGTTAAGTATATTAACGACAGTTGTTGAAAACTGATTGGCAAATTAAATTATTTGATCTTGATCTTAAATATTTCATAATTCTAGGACTATAAAATTAAATTCATTTCTTCCATCATTAGATCGATATTTCAACATCAGATCTTGATAAATAGTTGCGTAGATTGTTGAGAGAGGTAGAAAAAGACTACCTATTCAAAATTTTGAGCAATAGTTATACATGAGCAGTTACACACGTTAACAGAGTCAACGCCGATAAGCTATGGCTTTCAATATACCAAGGTTAGTAGGACGGGGAGAGGTGGCCGGAAGAGGGTAAAAGCCTTCTCCTCATCTTCCCACTCCCCCGCATTCTTTGTCTGAGCACTTTGCTCTATTTGATCGCATGCACATAAGACGTGGAGAGCCTCGTGCTGCATTATTTTATGCAGTGATGGCTAGAACCTATCCGGTCAGATATCTATCAAGCTCGTTGACAGAGCTATGCATGCACGTACGAACGTGTGCATGGTGGGGTCATGTTTTTCGACGGAATATCTTCTGCATATATAGGTCCATAGCCATCCATAAAAAGATAAAAGCCCTCTCCTTCGCCTATTTATTGATTCGCTTCAAAGACAGGCTCTTTCAATTTATTTCTTTTAAAATTAAGTCTTGGGTAGAGCTCAGGGTGAGGGAGAAGAAAAGCTAGGTACACAGACGGTGAACCCATATACAAAGTAGCGGAGGAGAAAAAGGAGTAGCAAAGAGAGGCTACTGTCATGTACTTCGGTGTTGAGACAACGAAATCGTTCTGGTTGTATTTGATACGTATATAATTTCTGTCTTCCCATCCTTTTCTTTCCTATCCTTGTCTTGTTTCCTTTAACTTTTATCCGAGATGAGAAGGGACGGACGGGACGGGACGAGATGAAATGAGTTGGTGAAATAACGAGTACACCCGGAAGGTTTTATGGATTATGTACCAGGGAGCCAGAGAGGCAGAGAGACAGAGGAGGGGCGGGGGGAGGGAGTAAGGGGGAGAGAGTCATCCTGCCACATCTTGAAAAAATGCACACTCACTGGGCGACTAATAGTGGTATTCAGGTTTGTAAATCTGTGATTGAATGTGATCTGCAGAGGAAATAGAGCAAACGAGATATAAAATAAGAAAAACAATAGATGGCTGGTAGCGGCAGCGACGGAGGCTGAAATATAGAGTTTACAAGAAACCAGAATTAACGAGAAAGGTCGGGGAACGAGGTTGGGACGATATACTTGTTAGAAAACAAACAACGGGAGGGAATAAGAAAAGTAAAGCATGCTAGGAAAAAGAAAGCTGGCTCGAGAAGGGAAGCAAATATAGTTTAGTGAAGAAGAATCATAAAAGTCGTGAGGATAGATACACTGCAAAAGTAGGGGGAAAAAATAAAAATAAAAATAAAAATAAATAACAAGAGGGGAAGGAAATCGATAGATAAAAGCAAGCTCTGGCAAATAGGCAATCAAGAGGAGGGGTATGATGAAGTAAATAATGGTTGCTGCTGTCGCTGCTAAAAAAGACAAAAAAAAGAAAAAAAAATAAAAGAGCTGGAAGAGGAAAAGAGAGGGGGAAAAAAGAGAAAAAGTAAACAAGGATATATATATATATATATATAAACGCCGACGGGCTACAGCTGGGCTGGGCTTCACAACACAGAAAAGAAGAAGGAAGGAAAAGCAAGAGCAGAAGGGAAAAGAGAGAAACAGTAATTCAACTTCTGGCTACTTTCGCTTGGAATGTATAGTACAAGAGTCAAAATATAATAGCTAACACAAGATTCGAGAATATAGAAAATAAAGAAGGGCAGCGGATGATAAGATAGGATATCAAAGGGATAAATAAGGGGGTGACACAAGCCATTGGAAAGGCTGCTAATTTGCTGACGAGGGTTTTGCCGCAAAATATTTTTCTCTGAAAAAAAAATGAAACAAAGGGAAAGAGAAAGAAAAAATCTTCATGGAGTGGGTGGCTGTTAAAAGATAGGTGATATACCTCTTTCCTCCGCCTTTCTGACTGCACGAAGGAGAAAGATGAAGAGTGAAATGAATGCCAATCTCCAATTCGTATTTACATGACAATGCAACAACCACACCCCTTCTCCTTGACAGGAGGCATATCATCTGCAGGCAGAGGTTGAGGGTGAGGTTTCGACACTTGCGATGGCTTGGGAGATAGAGAGGACTGCACGGTTGGTATAGTTTTGTAACCGCCATGATCTGTCCCGCTCGTGCCTGGCCGATTGTTGAGGTCTGGGGATTTTGGAGATTTTGGCGTTGGTGGCCATAGGGTTTGGTTGTTTGTTGTTGTTGCTGTTTCTTGTGCTTTCTCGACATCGAGAGCCAGAGCGGGCAGGGTGGGTTTATCAAGTTCATTAACGGGCAATGGTGCAAATTCTCTGTCATACATCGAAGGGACCTTTCCTTCTCGCTCCCACTGCTCTTGCTTGAGTCTTTTCGCGTGGGTGGGAAGAATTTGCTGATCGGGCGGGAGACGTGGATCCGGTTTGTACATGGTTGCTAACCATGGTGGATCCCCTTCCGGACGGTTCACCGCAGTCTGGGGACGGTTTTCTCCAGATCTGGTCGATGGACGTTGATTGGATGCAAAACTATTGTTGTTACTGCTACTAGCCGTGGCTTTGGATTTAGATGTCGATGTCTTGCGATTATTAGGTGGGACAGATGTTTTGCGAGTGGTGATTGTCTGTTTGGTACTTGTTTTGGACTTGACGGGAGAACTCGGCTGTTGTTGAGTGTTGCTGTTGCTGGACGGTCGACTCCCGGGAGGAGGTGTAGATTCTGCTGAGGTTGTTGATTGGTTTTGCGGTTGCAGCTGTGACTGCGGCTGTGAATGCGTTTTGGGTTCAGAAATATCATCAGCTCCGATCTGTATTGGATCGCTAAACTTGCGAGTTTTTGCATATGCAATATTATCATCGTCTCCACTCCCAAGCGTATTATTTCGAGTGCGATTTAGGGGGAATTCGCGTTCAAGATGTTCAAGTGGGATAGGGTGCGGACTCATCGCAAGAACAGGTATTCTCGAAGAGCTTTTCCTAAGTCCAGTAACTTGGCGAAACACATGGGAAGTGTTTCCTCCGTCCTCATACGGATCTGCAGCAATTTCTTCAGGTAAACGGGGGTCATCAAATACCATGATATCGGTGGTATCACGTCTTTCCTGTTCCTCATATGCAACAGGAGTGGGTGATGTGATACGCTGGCGCTTTTCTTCTCGAGTTCCAGGCCATTGTTCTCCAGGCTCCGCGATTCCATTTGCAGAATTGTTATGGGAATCGTGGCTCCGCCCTCGTCTGCTGCTTGATTTACTCCCGGCACGAACCTGTTGTTGATGGAACTGAATACCAAATTGTTGCAATTCCTCACTTTCTATTTTAGCCAATTTGTCCCGATGGATCCAATTGGCACTGTCTAATTCTTCGTTCCCGAACCAAAGCTTGTGACTCTTCTGTTCCCCCGATTCCATCACGTTCACAGCACTGCGGTTGGCTGATTCTCGACCATACAAATCCAAGAGGCTATCTGCTTCACTGCCAGTTCGACTGAGGGAGGGTTCCCGTTTCCCCAAGGCATCCACTCGATTAGGTAGAAGATATCCCGTATCGCCCTGCATGGAGCCAGACCTCGACGAGTTCCTTGACAATGGGATTCCGTTCACGGCAGGCAGTTGGTGATGTCGTTGATTAGATTTGGAGTATGTGGCGGTCGAGTCGTTCGAAGTTCGTCGTTTGGAAGCAGTTGAGGCATGTGCATTTTGTAGATGAGACTGTTGGGGTAATGTTAGCTGTTTGCTTGCGGAAGAAACTCAGGAGCAGTAAATGAAACCATATATGTAAACAAAAAAATTAAAAGAAAGAAAGGAATGATTACAAAAGATTTAACAGAATGTTGACATAAAAATATATGGCATAATTCGATATGTGTCAGCTCATTTGATTGGTATACTGACTCCAGGGGGCCCCAGCAGGGAGTTAGAAAGACAAGAGAGACACAACGACACTCCATAGAAACCCACATAAGCAGCAGGTGTAATTAAGGACCCATTGAGGCTTGAGACAAAGCCAGACAAAGACAAGAAAGAGAAGAGACAACGATTCATAGGGGACAGAGTTACACATACATCTTGGCTGATTGGGACGGAGAAATCCCATGGCTGCTCCTTTCCATTGATACTGCTTGGCGATGGCAGAGAATCTACAGAGTGCATTGCAGCAGCTTCTGCCATACCAGCACGGCCTTTGTCTTCTGCTTCAAAACTGTGCAACAAATCTGTTCTGGAATGAGCCAGAAAGATCTACTCCTCTTCCTCTTTTTGGCGAATGGGGGCGGGGATTTCTCTTGGTTTGGTTTTAATTTGGTTTTAATGTTATTTCTCCCCTTTTCGATTCTATCGGGTCAATCCACTCCAGCCTGTAGAAAAACAGAAGATCCCATAGAGCCGAGAGATTTGTGGTTGGGGGTTTGGGCCCGAACGCGAGAGGACCGGGGAGGGGGGAAGGCGTAACACGAAAACTAAGCCTAGATGAGGAACGAGAGGAGGTGGGGTTGTGATATTCAGCTTAAGATGGGGATGGGGGATGTTGGTACGTTCGAGAATGCCACGGGGACGAGAACAGGAACGGGGAGGAGCGAAAAACGAGGAGATAATGGACGCGGAGAGGTCTGCTCTGTTGGCGAGGATGGGTCAGGAGGATGGAGGTCAAACACGGCGCAGGACAGAGCGAATTGGACGAGAGGATGGCGACAGAACAAAAGAGAAGGAGAGAAAAGGTAGTCACAGTATATAGCATCCGGAGGAAAATTAATTAAAAAAAGCACATCCACACAGGTGCCGGGCTCAGCATGAGGATTGGGGAGAGTGAGGTGTGGAGGAAACGAAATGGAGTGAGATGAAATAATGGTAAGGAAGTGTGGTGGTTGGGTTTCTTTGGGGGTGGAACTATTTATTATCCGGAGAGGCTGAGAAGAGGTCAATAGTGAAAGAACTACGATTCAAGAAACAGCCAGACTACAGAGCTGAGAAAGAAGAAGAGCAGCACACCAGGCACAAACGAGTGACGTGCCCAGGAGAGGGAACAGACCAGCAAGGGAACAAGATTGATTAAACAGAAGAAGTAGAAGAAGAAAAAAACTGAGGAGTTTTTTTGATGAGGAGGAACTGAAGAGAAAAAGAGGGAGAAGTGAGTTTTCGGTGGTTGGATGATCATGAGAACGGGCCAGGGTTGAATGAGCCCATAATAATAGCAGCAATAAACAACTAGCTAACGGGGCCTTAGGGATCGTCTGTATGGTCTGAATGGTCTATGGAATGGTTGATAGGCCTAATTATGATTAAACAGCACCTGCTAATAATAAGAGTAGGGCCCATTTATTTTAAAAGCTTCCCACAAAACATCAAGCAACCTTGGGGGAGCTGAACTACACACATCCTCAACGTGCACGTACGTACAGAGCACATTCATACATCCTGTCATATTTAGATGAATAACAAACCTGCATTTTAAAGGACCATAATGCTTGGGTATATACCTATCTATCCCCCTTATCATATACCAAATTCCATCCTTCAACATCTGAGACTCTGCTGTGTATTAATTCATTCCGCTACCCACTAACGAAACAACAAGCCCTGGTCCCCGACACCTAGATCGACAGGGGCTAATGTGATTGGTTCAGCTGCGGGAACAATTCATATCTTTCATAACAGCGGCCGTGCATCCACTGTTATGCCATCCAGTCGAATAGCTCGGCCATCACAACAAGGTTAGCCCGTCGCATGCGACGGGAGGCATCCCAACCATTTCAGGGAAAGTTACTATGGGATGGTTATAACTTAAGGCCATTTAAGGAAGTTTCCAATGGGATTGGTTCCACTGAACTTCCATACAGAAAGGGACAATGCCATTATCATTGTTATTGGAGCATTGTTATACTCAAAGGAGTCCTAGGGTCCAGGTATCATCGTTGCAACCTGGAACAGTAAAATATGGGGACAGGGATGTTTTTAATTAAGGACAGCGTTAAGGTTATGGAACGACAGCGGCGAACCAACCAACCAATCAACAATGGTAATGACGGTTGGGATATAAAATTTCAGGGCTCCAAAAACAAACCCGCAGGCGTATCCATGGATCAATAACTTACAAGAGATCTAGGTAGGTGTTAATCGTTCCTGGGACCAGATATCAGGGAAACTCAATGAACATTTAGGCTTCCGTCTTGTTTGCTCCCACCATTTTTGTTTCTTTCATCATTAAATTCGGATGATACTGAAATCTTTGAATTTCACATTGGAGAGATAGAAGATGACAACCCCAATTCAGAAAATACAGAAGAAGTTTATTCTCTTTATTAGATAAATATCAGTCACAAAAAAAAAAAAAAATCTCTTCTAGTTTATGCATCCAACCCACCTGATTCCATGACTACCAAAATATGCATCCACCCTTAACTATGTATATTCCATTTAGTGTTAACATGCTTTACATTCGATCGCAATAATATCTCTCCTTTGCGCAAAGAAAAGCAGAAGCAGAGGAAAAAAGTGACGTTAAGGCATAATACAAAAAGGGCAGAAAGAAAAAAAAGAAGTTAAAAAAAAAAGAAAAGAAAAGAAAAAGGCAAAAAGAAAGGCAAAAAAATGGAGAAAAAACAAGCAAAGAGAAAACCAAAGTCGAAAACTAATAAGGGCACAAAAACCCCTACCCCAGCTTTTGTGCCTCGTCGATCCTCTTCAACGCATTCTGCACTGTAAGTATCAGCGTCCGCCGCTGCTGCCTCACCTCCTCATCACCGTCAATCTCAATCCCATCAACCTTCAAAATCAACTGCGCCATCGTTGTCTCACTTAACTTGCGGTGCTCGAAATCCCGCGTCTTCTGGTCTGTGGGGGTATGCTCGACGTATTCATTGAACAGAGGCTTGAGCGTGCTGTGGAAGTATTCGCTGAGGAGGGAGAGTTTGGCCTGTGGTGATTTGATTGTGTTGAGGTTTGGTGAGGGGGTAGGGAGGGAGGAGGGGCGTGGAGAGGGGTTGGATTGCGGCTGGGCCTTTGAGGAGGAGAAGGACCTGTGGGTGTTACTGTTGCTATTGTTCGTGGTGGCAGATAGCGGCGGGGTGGAGAGATTGGGGGAGTTTCTGGGTTGTGAAGTGAGGGGCGTATGCGAGGAGCGCGGAGATGGTTGGGCAGGTTGCTCGTTCATAGGTATTGGGGGGCTTCTGGAGGTGGATGGGTTTCGCGCCGGGTCTTTTGCGTCGATTGTAGTGGTGTTGTTGTGGCGCTCCCTGTGACGTCTCTTTCTGCGACCACTTCCGGCTCCACTGCCACCATTGACCGCTGGAGGGGATGACCGCTCGACGATCTCAGAACCTTCCAAGGGTGGAGGTGTCAGGATGCTCTCCTCACTTGAGGTTTCCGGGAGGACCCTTGATATCACGCACATTGTTGCGGAGTTCTGTTTTAATCCCACATCTCTCGCTCTGGCGAAGTCATCTTTCAACAGACGGCCCTTGTAGAGAAGTTTAATCTGCCGTGTGTCTGCGACATCCAGGACGTCTGCTGCAGCAACTTTGACGTTCCCAACTGTGATAATGCCATCACCAATTGCGTAGGCGGGGAAATTTAGTTTGTGCGATGCCCCTCTGTATTTCAGAATGATCACATCTGGCTCTGACTCATCATTATTACTGCTGCCGTTGCTGTAACAGTAAATTGATTTCATCTGCTGTCTGCGGGGAGAATACTCCATATTGTCCCACAGACCGGTATAGTCTGCATCATTAACGGTTACGTAGCTGTAATCATCATCGGTAACGGCTGGCGTGGTGGGAGGGGTATATCGAAGGGGAGATGGAGGAGATGGGTGCCTTCTCCATGGGTTCCAGCTCATCGCAAGAATCGCAAGAAGTAAAGCGATTACTGTGACCGCGAGATGTGTGGTTGAGGATAATGACGAGAAAGAGGAGGGGACAAGGAATTGCAGAGCCTCAAGCGATTTCGCAAGGGTGTCGAGTGGTGAGGACGAGGGTAACGATGGTGGGCCTGGTTTGGAAAAAGTGGCAGCAAAATGTGAAATGACGCTGCGAAGGGAATCAGGGAGATGCGGTGCCAGAGACTCCAGGTATGAAGCGGAGATCGTGCTGAGGGAGGAAAAGGGAGACCAAGAAGAGGGTGTCATGGAGTGAAATTTCCAGAGAGAGGCGGAGGACAGGAATTGAGGTGATGGGGAGGGGGAGGTCTGGTACTGCATCGCATAGTTGGCATCTGCAGCCTCAGCGAATTTTTAGGCGTTGACTTTCGGTGCTGGTGGTCAAGATGACTTTTCTGAGCGGTCATGGCCAGCAAACTAGGCCCACATCCGGTTTTTTAGGGGCTGCTGTCGAGTCCGGAGGGTTCCAAGCCAAGTTCTGCAGCAATATTTTCGGATTTTCATCATTTAATTTTTTTGATTTTTTGTAATTCTGCGGCAATGCGTCAACTATTTAAACAGACAAAGAATGACACGGATCGAATCATAAATCATTTCCTATTTTATTTTTTGTTTTTACTCCTAATTTGAAAGTATTCTTCTACACGGTGTTTCAAACAGATCATGAATAATTCAATAGACAATGACTTTGTTGGTCACTTGAAATCACCATAACTCAATGAGACCCCCGATGGCGTGCAAATGATTTGTTCAACTGCAGAACTCTCCACGAGAAGTGATTTCAATGACGAGCATACCCCGAACAGATATTCAGAGGTTTGTATTATTATGTATGTATATTGTAATTCTACAGGGAAATACCATTGCGCTTTGCTAGGCCAGACAAACATCAATAACGTCATTTGCCTGAAAAAACCTTCGCGCAAGAGGTTGGTATCTATGGCAATTCCTAAACTTCGACGATATGCATAAATAGATATCCCAGCCCCTTGGGCTCCTGCACCTCATAGCCGCAGCTGTCCTTCCGCGGGTCTCCCTCCAAACCACCTCCCGAGACCTGTCGTACCACTCTCATTCCTCCTGTTCCCATTTTCGGGCTCCTGCCTTCCTCCCAACCATCTGGGTCGTGGGATGCTCCCATTATCCCCCCGGAACCATTGCGGTGTGTTGGCTGTTTCAATGGTGTTTTTAACGCGGTGGGCAAATGACTGGAAGAAATTCTCTTCCTCCGACTCTTCTTCCGGTGCCAGCAGCGGCACGCGGCTAGAAGGGATAGCCCGATTCGGCGCTCGGGACTGAGTCTTCGAGCGATCTGCGAGGGGTACTCTATTTGTGGGACCAGCAGGCACAGGTGGTGCTGGCCTTTGTACCGAAGCTGCTGCCCTACCTGAATTTGGTGAAAGGCCTAAGGAGCTCGGTCCATTTAATTCCCTTTCAATCAATTCGCGTCCTTCCCGCCAGCCTCCAACACCAAACCCACCACCTTCAATCTCCACATTTTCATCCTCATCTTCGAGGAGGCTAAAATCAAACCAGCTCCTAACTCTCCCGTACAGGTTGAACAACGTCGCACAAACCGGGATCAGTATAAATATTGGGAAAACGTAGTCAAAACCCTTGCCCAGCGGGGTAAGGTTGATGAGACGTCCAAGGAAGTGGTAAAATGTCGTCTTCTTCTGGACGTCTTGGGGAAGGAATGTAAGAAAGTTGTAGGAGAGAGGAACTGTGAGTTTGGCTACCTGTCCTGCGTACCAGCAGGCGCTTTCGCCGTATGTGTTTCGAGGAACTAGGGCTCGGTTACCCCACACTTTGGCATCTGTGATGCCCACGAATGCTGCTGAGCACATGTAAAATATCCACGCCGCGGATGCGACCTGGCCAATAAATCCAATTGGTTCGGATTTAGTGGGATTATGGACCACGGAAAGGGTGACAATAGACACCCGAGGAGCAAAGGACTTGACGATCTCAGACCAGACGACGCAGGCAGACGCCAAGGAAAAAAAGCCCGCAAGAGCCAATCTACCAGCTGGTAGAATATGTACAAAGATATAATACCGTATGGTTGGTGTTATAAATGGAAGTGATCTATTAGGAGAGGAACAAAGGGACGGATGAGAAAACTCAAGCCGCTTGGAGGCGGCAGAGTCGATGATACATTGGGTATCAGCAGCTTCCTTAACTAGGCGTTTCCATGTATTCGTGAAACGCGCGTTTTGATGACGCACTCGAGCCAGGCGTCTAGTTACATCTGCGAGATATCGTGTGGTAATGACAGGAGGGACACTTAATCGTGATGTTTCCGCCCCAACAGAGGCCCGAAGTCTGGATTCAGGAATACTAGTCATGTCGACCAATTCATCGATCCATTCTTGCAAGTCTCGTGGGACACCTGTCTTCCGTTCGCGCAACTGGGACACTTGATATTCCAGTTCTTCAAGGTTGGCCATGGAGTCCGTCAGGTGATCATGTATTCGAGGGGCGCGGGCTTGGATCCTCCTCAGTTTGTTCCCCAGATTTGCATTTCTAATAAGGGTGCGAGGTATGGCTACCAGACCATGACCCATCAGGTATATTGCAAGGGCCAGGCCCCAAAAATAAGCTAGGGCCATGACAAGAGCTTTGAGAGATGTGAAATCAAAGCCATTTTGTATGATAATGTAGATAAGACCTGCAATACCACATCCAAGAACGATTAATTGATACCGTCCGTTCGAACGCAGAGAGTACAAGATACGGTCTTTCGGGGTGCGATATCCGGAATCAATATATTCGCCAAGGAGAGGGAGAACAACCCTGAAGCAAAAGCACTAACTTAGAATATTGGATGAATAGATGATTTGTTGGAAGAAAAGGGGAGAAGGATCCCAACTTACCAAGTCATTGCAAATGTCAGCCAGTAAGCAATCCTCCACGAAACGAGCATCACTCGTGGGGGAAACCATATCCCCGAGCCCGATCCTCCATCTCTAGTGCTTGATGTAAGATCAATGGGGACGAGCAAAATCACGCTTGCAGGCAGCGCAAGAGACAAAAAGACTGGGAAGGTCAGGAAGGCGGGGGTAGAACGTAAGGGAAGATAGAGTCTTAGCAGAAGCAAAACCAAAATGGCTATCATGAGAAGAGATATGCACATAAAGATCCCCGAACCCACATGGGTAGGGCTATGTGCAGCGATCGACGAAAGAGACATGGCTAGGGAGAACGCGGGATCATCAGAGAGAACCTTTGATCAAGGAGGGCTAAGTAGGTAAGACTCCCAGCGACGAAACATGGTAGGTGTATGTATCACTCAGGCTAGTGTTGACTTTCCTCTGAAAACAAGCCCAAAAAAGTGGTTTTGTTCAGAGGTATGTGTTCATTTGAACGTGAGTCGAGGGGGGTATAAAAGGAGGTGGAAGAGAAGAAGTATGTAAATGGAGTCACATAGGTTGGTGACGATAAGTCGTTCATTTTAATCATTGATAATGGGATCCCAACCAATGACGCGTTGATTAGTCAAATAGTCAAATACATAACTAGTCAACTCTAGTTAACTAACCCTGGTTGAATCCAAGCCTTGACTAGGAGGCGGCTAAGTCACGAGGGCGCCTAATTTCTACATTCTCAGAGCAAGGGGTCGAGAAAGTGAATGATCAGCCGATCACGGGATTAAACCATTGCGCCTAAACCCTTTTAGGCTTCAAAACTTACCGCTAGTAGGGGTTTGTTGCGTAAGGTACGGACTCAACACAACCAAAGGCTCGGAGCCTCTGCGTAAACTAGAGTATGTACAGCGAAATCAATGTTCCAAAACGACAATACAAGGAACTGGTATTCCCTACGGTTGAACGAGTGAGCGCTGGCTGACTAACTCGCGCTAACCACTCACTGGCCTAGGTACCTTGGAGCCTCCACCCTTGCTGAGCATCCCATTTCCCTTCAAGGCTTCTTGGGCTGGGACACGGGTTTCCACACCAACGCTCACCATCTCCACCACCACCACCACCACTACTACCACTGGGCACTACGGTCTCCCACCGCCGCTTCCACCACTTGCCGCCGCTGTCGATCATCCCCGAACCTACTTCTTGAAGGTTGTTGGTTCGTGCTGCACTGTGCAGAGCTGGCTGTCTTTCGTCTTCTCAGTTTTCTTTCGCCTTTCTCTCGTCTCGATCCTGGGCATGATAGGCCTAAGAACATGCCCGCAGTCGACGTGACTAGAAGCTTTGTGAGGCCCATCCTTGCTTAGTTGTCTGCCACCACATCTTCAACCACCAAGGCTTAAGGAACAGAGTGACGACGTATTAATTCTTTGTCCATCTTCCGTCTCCTCACACCTGACTACACCCGCTTCCTCCCTTCAAAAGTCGAAATCACGACCTGCTTCAACGGGTCCCGATCTCGCATCAGCCCTCTTTCGATCATCACATATATAGCTCAGGCGTTCCTTTTTCTCGAAACCCTCCCCCCCCTGGGAACTTAATCGCGCCCAACGCCTTACCCGCCTATTTATCCCTCCGTGAAGCCTTGTCCCCTTGCTCTCCACTGCTCTTCTCTCCGTTTGTTGTCACCTTCACAACGTTCCGTCCTACTTTGGTGACAACGTGAGATTTCATTTAATTTCTAAACTTTCGTGGTTGCAACTCCGGCAAAGGTTTATTGATGGTGGTGACGTCGGTTGATGCTTAAATCTTAAAGTCTTGCTATCGTGGAACCTTCTTGAGGCGTTAAACAGGTTCCCGATCGCAAGATGAATCCCGCCAACTTTGCCAGCCATGGAGGCGCAATGCCACTTGGTGACAAACCGCCGGTTCCCCAGATGCAAACCCAACAATCCAAGAACGAAACCACGCATCAAGTCCTCCTCAAAAATATATTTTCAGCTTTGCAGTCGCAGGGCCAATTTCAGGGTTGGCAACGGGAAGTACCTCTTCGAGATCAAGGGGGTAAAATATATCAGATGTAAGATACACTGCGGTTGATCCCTCGTCTACTCCTTTGCCTGTTGGCTGTCTTGGTTTTTTACTTGCTTTGTGGTGGTTTTGATCGCCATTTCATTCCTTGGCTATGTCGAAGTCGTCTTCCAAATTTCAAATTAAATTAACAAATGGCTAACCTTACTTGCCTCTTAAAGCATTTCTTCATTACGCTTGGTCGAACCTCACGTACCCCTTCAGCGGGCTTTATCCGTCGCTGTGTCTTTTGAAGAAAGAATTTTTAAACAATCAAGAGATAGAGTATGTTCTTTTCATTTGAAGACGAACCTGTGTGGCGGTCTTGCTAACCTGTTTCAGGTCGAGTATGAAAGGGAATGTAACAACAAACTTGGGCAGATAAGAGATAGTAGACAGCAACGTGCCGCCAACATGATGCAAAGCGGAATGACCATGGCACACGCCAGCCCTCATGCTGGAATTGCTGCTCCTGGCCAAAATGCCGCACAGACAAACATCTTTCCTACTCAATTTCAACGCCAAATGCAGGGCTCTCCCATACCGATTCAACAACCACAACAGCCGGGTTTGAGAATGAACGCTCCAAATCAACAATCGCCAATGCAACATCCTGGTTTCCTCCAAAACGGTTTACCGCGAGTGAATGCTGGCATCTCTCGTGATGAGGCCGGCGCCCTCCAGCCTCATGAATTAGAACATGTTCGTCAAAGAGCGGAGCAAATGATGCAACAGGCCTCACCCGCAACAATACAAAAGCTGAGATCAAGCTTCCAAAATATGCCTCCAGAGCAACTACAACGACTGGCCCGGGGGGGATTCGATCCAGTTGTACACTTTTTCCGCGCACAGGCTACAAGAGAGCTTAGAAGAAAAAACAACCCTCAAGAGATGATGCTCCCTCAGAACACTGTTCTCGATTCCGCGAATAATACGATCGCCAACCCTATGATGACACCCGCCCAGAGGCAAATACCTCAGTCTCTTATGGGCCTCCAAGGCAATTCTACTATCCCCATTAACGGACAACAGAATCTTGACACTGCAACATATGTGGGAAACATTGACCATATACAAGGGCAACAGGCAGATGGGGTCCGCTCACAAGAAGCTGGTCAACTTGTTGTTCCGGCCAATACCCCCCAGGTCGGAAACCAACCACAATTCAATGCACCCCCGGGCATGTTTCAGGATGGACAGCAAAATGTTAATAGAAGTACTCTTAACCATATGATGCTGGCCCAGCAACACCAACAACGACAGAACCTTCACAACCAACAAGAAACTGTTCAGCATGCCGCACAGTTTCAAGCACAAGCAGCACAGGTCCAGGCTCAGGTTCAAGCACAAGCACAAGCACACGCCCAAGCTCAAGCACAAGCACAAGCGCATGCCCAAGCCCAGGCACAAGCTCAGGCGCAAGCACAGGCACAAGCGCAGGCGCAAGCACAGGCGCAGGCACAGGCGCAGGCACAGGCGCAGGCACAGGCGCAGGCTCAAGCACAGGCTCAAGCACAGGTTCAAGTTCAACAGGCACAGGCACAGGCACAAGCTCAGGCTCAGGCTCAGGCTCAGGCACAGGCACAGGCACAGGCACAAGCTCAGGCTCAGGCACAGGCCCAAGCTCGTGCCCAAGCTGCTGTTAAAGCACAAATGGCAATGTCATCTCAACCAAATCCTCAGCTTCCTCAATCTTTATCCCAGCAAAGCCCTGCAATGTCCGCGATCAATAGACCTGTCGGACCCGGCCAGCTCTCTCAGTCCCAGATTGCCCCTCAGGGTAGGCCTCCGTCAAGACCTCCAGGTATGGGTCAAGAGCAGTCGGTTATGCCCAGTCCCCAACCCGGTGTGCCTCAGGGACTGCCTGCTAGCCTTCGAAGTCAACTGGCCCAAATGTCACCAGAGCAAGCCAACCAGTTTTTACAAAGCAACCAGCGACGTGTTTTTTTAAATAGCCAAGCAATGGCTCGCCCAGGACAACAGCCGGGTGTTCCTGTTCCACAGGTTTTGTCAGATCCAAATCAGCAGCAACAAGCTCCAAATGGCCAATTGGTTAGTGAGGCGGCAATGCGAAATGCCATGGCTATGCCTCCTCAATCCGGCTTAGGCGTGACCCCACCCCAGAATCAGAGCATTCCACGCCAACATCTATCACAACAACAGCGACAGCAGGAGCTTAAGCTCCAATTCGCTCGACAGCAAAGTGCTAGTATAGAGATGACGGAGGATCAGATCAAAGAAATGGATGGACTTCCTTTTCCTCCCCCACTTGTGAATGCAAATGCCAATATAGCGCAACCGCTGCCCAAAGGTGTTAGGACATGGGGACAACTCAAACTTTGGGTAGCCCAAAACCCACATGCCCTTGGCGATGCCACCCTTCCTAAACTCCAGGCCATGCAAAAATATCACTATGCACGGTTGAATTCACTGGGAGAGGCTACCCGAAAATCGGATCCAAGCCTCCTAGTGTCTGGAGCCGCACCACCCGTCGTTCCTGCACACTCCCAGCCCTTCAATCCCCAGCAAGGGATCCAGCCAGGGCAACAGCACCGCCCTCTTCCAAACATGCCTATGATGCGTCCAATTACAGCCAACGAAATCCAGAACGCGCGACAAAAACTCGGCCCTCAGTTGCAGAACTTTACAGATGATCAAATCAAAACCCTCCTGGAGCGGAATCGACAAAGACAGTTTATTGAAGCCCGTAATAGGCAAGCAGCAGCTCAAGCACTTGGAGCTCAGTCGATGAATCAAAATCAACCATTTATTCATCCCCCAGTTCAAGCCCAAACCCAACCTCAACCTCAACCGCAACCGCAACCGCAACCGCAACCGCAGGCTCATCCTCACCCTCTGCCTGTGGCGCAACAGATTCCTGTTCCCTCCCTACAACCACCAACAGCGCAAATAACCCAGGCCCAGATATCTCCCCCAAGCAGCAAGCCAGCAGCAGTTACTGCGGTCAAGGCGCCACGTGCGTCAACTGCTAAACAATCGAAATCTCTCAAACGGCCCAATGCTGACGATGCCGTTGATGTTCAAAATCCGATTACCCAACAGCCGCAACGACAGACCCCGGTTACCCAGCCTACCCCCAAACCGGCCATTCCTGTGACCGCACAACAAAAGACCCTGCTGGAGGGTCATATGCGACGACAACAATCGCAATCGCAACCGAGACAACCCATTACGAAAGCCATTGCTGATGAAATCTGGAACCGCCTTCCTGAACATATCCGGCAGTTATATTCAGAATGCGTTCAGCATGATCGAAACGATACTCCTGTCTCAATGTCACCTGAACACAAAATGATGGTATCAAAAATTCTCACAGATTCTACGGATATGCTCGGGCGTATGGAGGCTTTAATTCACTGGATCGCCAAATTGCCTAATCAAGAGAAAACCCTTCACGCTCTATTGCAAATGGTATGAAATCTATAAGCTCACGCATGATAGAAGGATCTCAAATGCTAACCTCCCGGCTTTATATAGAGAGTGGCATTGATGAAACAATTCAAGGGCCCCGAGTGGCAACTTGTCGATCAGTTTACCATTTCTCAACCACAGGTAGTGTCCGCCATCGCTTATATTAAGAAGTGGTTCGCGGCGATGATCAGTTACCTCCCAAAACCAAACCAGTCATCAGCCGCAGCGGCAGCAGCACGAAATGCTGTGCCCCAAGGATCACCGCCTCAACAACAAAACGTGCAGCCAGCCATCCCACCTCTGAATGCGAGCAACCTTCAGCAACTTGAACAACAGCAAGAAGAAGCTTTACAGCGCACACGGCGAGCACACACTCAAGCGGGACCTACTGCTCCGACAACTTTACAGCCGCCCTTCCCATTAGGAGCGCCATCACCACAGGGTGTTCCTCAGGCATACGGACCACCTGGCTTGACCAAAGACAAATTGGTAATCCCACCAGCAAAGAGGCGGAAGCAAAATCCAGCGGCAGCCAAGACACCCACGCCTTCGTCAACTCCGGCAGCACCAGCAACGACACCCCAGCCTCAGAAGCTGAGCCCTGCCGTAGCAAACCAACCTTCCCCACCTGTGGCAAGCTCCTTTCGATGCCCTGTATCTGAATGCGAACATCATATAAGAGGTTTTGCTTCTCAAGCAGCCCTGGACACCCATGTCGAGGAGATTCACAAGGTTGAGGAACCTGTTGCAAATCCGCTTGAGTTTGCCCTTGAAAGCTATCGTATTGGCCTGGGTATCGATCAAATTGAAAAGAAAACACAGGAAGCAGAAGAATCCAAGCAGAAGAACGCTCCTGGTCCTGAAACTCAGCCACAAACACAAGCAAGCAAACCAATAGCTACCCCTAAGACCAAGAGTGAACATATAGCACCCGGAGCTACACCTATTGGTCGTTCTTTATGCCAAGCTGGCCCAATAAAATCAGCCTCGCCAAGCTCAAACAACGCCAAATTATCTCAAGAACCCCCCGCAAAAGGAGCAACTACGTCGAATTCCAAGTTGGCGCAAACCAAAACCAACAAAAAAGATAGAGGTAAAAACGGAGAGCAAGGTTCCCCTCAAGAAGATATGGTCTTTGTCAAGGACCCGTGGGCTGAAAGCGCGATCTCCCTCGAAAGCATCCGTTCCGCATTTAGTGATGTGGGTGACCAAAGCTTCCCAGGCCTCGGACCGGATCCTATCGATGATGTATTGGCCTCTGAAGCCTTCATGAAAATTCGATCCAATGATACGCCGCAGTCTACAGATACGGGACCTAATACGCAAACCCCCAAGGATACTGACAGTTCCAGGGACGACGACTTAGATATAATGATGAGTGGGACGAGCGATGATAGCTGGATACCGTCGGACTGGGTTAATCTTCCCGGGCAACTTGAAGGGGGTTTGCTCATGAACGAGCCCTGGGAAGAAATCAATTGGGAGGTCATGGAGAAAAGTGAATTCGAATTAGCTGCGAGCAGCTTTGAGCCGATTGTGTATTCGATTTAGCCTGATAAGATTAATAATCTTCATTTTCCTTTTTTCAGATTCGGCTAACATATAAAAACTGATGTGGAGGGGAAATTTCCAATCTACACAATGGATGATTTTCATGACTTGATTTTTTGGTTTCGTTCTTTCTTTGTTTGTTTGTTGTTTCTTTTCTTTCTAATCTTTCCGGGATTCACGAGGAATCATTTCCTTATTTTCTCCTTCCTCGTGATGTTCACCTGCTTTCCGCTTATCATGCTGTTTGTTTTCGCTTTGACCAGCAAGGTGTCTGCGGTGGGGTGTTTCATAGATTTCACGGGGACCATTTGGCACCCCTTTTTCTCGATTTATTAATCTCTAGGTGGTGGGCTTCGTGATTAAACAGGTAATTGAACGGCCTTTGTTTGGCTTCTTGATTTAATTTATGGTGTTTTTCTCTTCCCTTGTTGCTTACTATTGTTTGCAAATCTGGACAAACACCTCGAAGAAACTGTGCTTCTAATGTGGTGGATGAAATAGCTGGATGAGAAGTGAATCATAGCATATAATCAAATGCACTCGTTTTACTTTATCTTCTTGTTTTAGTCAATAGTTCATCGCAATCTTTTATATGCTAATATATCATCATGATCTGTCACTTCTGAACAAAGTGAATAGGAAAATGACTTACAACTGAATATTAATAAATAGATACACTCTGTCAAATGAAAATGTGAGAGATGTAAATCCATTTGTTTTACAAGACAAAAGATGATTTGGTTGGTAAACATCAATTAAAGGCAGAAATGTGAAATAGAGTTAGGTGACAACTATAGAAAAAACAGCTAGCGAGAGATAGTTAACTACTTGAGGATTACTTAGATAATTTTAATTGCATCCCACTTTTAGTGAGGTCTCTCAACCCCAAACTGGTGATAATACAATACTGTTGTTTAATTATGTTGTGAACGTCAAGGTTCATCCAACCGATTATCACGTGATTGCGATAGATCGGATCCGGGAAGTGTTGGGATGGTTTATTCTCTGTTGGTGGGAGGTTGAGCCGGGACCCCAACGCTTGGTTACATCATCACGTGAACAATCGGAGCCGCCCATAACGCGTTAAGCGCTGCGGGTCACCAGATAACAACGCTATTCAGATCTCCACCCATATGCGCATAATCCAGCGGGATTGGATCTCCAGTCCGACCCATATCCCCATATCCTTTGCCACTGCTTCGAACGGTATAGAATTTGCCTAGACGTTCTTTTAATAGAACCGTCTTCTAGCCTCTGTCTGGCTGTGACCTTCAGGCTCCCTGCCCAAACACCAGCATTCCCAATCCTGAAGAGTATATTGTCCGATACTATCACCGAAAATGGCTTCCAAGGCTCTTATACCTTTTCTAGTCATCATGATGCTGGTGACTGGTGTTTGCAATACGATTCTTACAAAATACCAGGCTAGTTCCCTTTTGTTACTTATCGTCGTCCTGTGTCGGAAAGACTCCACTAACAAATGGTCTTTGACAACAGGACATGCAATGCGTGCGTAACTGCGAGTCTCCCGATCCAGAAAAGAGAAAGGTGTTTGAACAGCCTGTTGTCCAAACGTATATTGCACAATTTACTTCCTTTCCATAGTAAAATGGATATTAATATTGGATATCAGACTACAAATGTTTATCGGAGAAATGGGATGTTGGCTGGTCGTGTTTGGATGCAATATCTGGAATCAACACATTAGCAATAGATTTGGCGCTTCGTCTGAAGCATCCCTCTTTGCTGATGGCTATAGACCAGTTGACGGTGCGGGCGATGACCTTGCTGACTCCGATGACGAAGTGGACTCTATCTCCCCCCTGAATGGAAGGGGTAGGCGTCAAAGTTCTTCCAGGAAGCTCTCATCCGTGGAAAATGATGGTAGGATGAAACTTAAGGGATGGAAGGTTTTCCTGTTGGCCGCTCCAGCATGCTGCGATATCACCGGTACAACGCTCATGAACGTTGGGTTGCTTTTCGTTGTTGCTAGCATCTACCAAATGACGCGGGGTGCGCTTGTGCTCTTTGTCGGCCTCTTTAGCGTACTGTTCCTCCGCCGTAAGTTATACCTGTACCAGTGGATCGCTTTGTTCGTTGTTGTTCTTGGTGTTGGGATCGTTGGACTTGCTGGTGTTATCTTCAAAGATCACAAGCCTGAAGCCTTGGAAGGGGTCCTCCAGAGCGTTGTTCAGTTATTTTCAAGGGGGATACAGGAGGAGGACCTTGCAGCCACAACCCCAGTTGCTGTGAAGACTATTATTGGCGTTCTATTAATCGCAGGAGCCCAGATATTCACAGCCGGCCAATTCGTTTTGGAGGAGTGGATTCTTGAGAAATATGCAATGGACCCTCTGAATGTCGTTGGCTGGGAAGGGGTATTTGGTTTTTTAGTTACTCTTGTTGGAATGTTGATCCTCCATCTTGCTATAGGCAGGACGGACAGTGGCAGGCACGGATATTTTGATGTAAGGGAAGGGTGGCACAACATGACCACCAACAGGGCAGTTGCGGTATCGAGTGTTCTAATCATGATAAGTATTGGGTATGTGAAACCCCTTCGGACACATCTCTCCTTATTCCCAACGTATTTTGAAATGCTCTCAATAAATATTAACTAGCATTACCCAGCGGATTCAACTTTTTTGGCCTCAGCGTTACCCGGTCCGTGTCTGCCACTTCTCGCAGCACCATCGACACCTGCCGGACTCTTTTCATTTGGATCATTTCCCTTTGCTTAGGCTGGGAGTCTTTCAAGTGGCTTCAGGTCGTCGGTTTTGCCATGCTTGTTTACGGTACTTTCCTTTTCAACGACATCATCAATCCTCCATTGAAAGCCTGTCTACCTTCGAGCCCGCACAGGGAAGAGCTACTTCCCCAGGAGCCCATTGAACATATCTAGTAATATATTTTTTTTAACGGTTTTGGGTACAATTACCTTTTGGTGATAGATACTATCGTTTGGGACAGGCAACTGTCTTGCTTGAAATTCCCCGCCAGTTTTAATTTTTTGTCACAATCGTTGCGTTTTGTTCTATGACCACCGCTTTATTTCGACATTTAAATATTCAGTACTAGCATTGTTTGTGTTTGGATACGGCGCTCTGAGTGTTGGAAGCGTGTTATGTCAACTCTTCATTTTGAAACGCATTGGCAAGCATTTCTCTAATATGCTATTTATTGTTATTCTCATCCCACAGCTATATTGTTTGAATATCAACTTGCCAGAATTCAAATGTTTTCATGTGATGCACCCCAACTATGATACAATTTGAACCCCTAAATCTTAAGTGCCTTGATAAAGCAGATCCACCAACGTGCCAGAAGAAAGGAACCAGATCTCTCCTTTATTTCAACGAATCGTAAACCTTCTTCTCAACATCTGCCCATAGATCAAACAATTTAACGTCTCCAAACGGCAAGATTTGGGTGCTAATAACCCCAGCTATCCCATGTTCCCTATCACACCACCAGAACAAATTTGCAATTCCCGCCCACATCCCACTCTTCAAGCTCCTTCCGGTCACGCTACTGGTTATCATAAACGATAGGCCCCAGCCCTGAGGCTCATTATTATTCAGGGGATAAAAATCTGGCACGTTCTTGACAAAGTCAGGCTTCGCGTTCAAATGTGTATCTTGCCGGCCAAAGTTTGGCATATGAGGGATCTGATTCTCAAACATCTGGTCGACAGTAGATTTTGTGAGAAGTTGTTGGCCAGTTTTAGGCGATGCCCCGTCATTTAGTAGTGTGGTGAGGATGTCTATAGAGGCTTGGTTAATTCCTAGCCTAAGTGCTTATATTTTCATGGGTTTGTTATAAGGGGGAAAAAATATAGGAAAGAAACAGGTACACAGGGAAAGAGTGTAAATATAAAAATTATCAGCTCACCCAAATAATCCTGTGGGTTGGCGAAACAACCAGCTCCACCAGAATTCAGCATGCCTTTGGTCTCCGTCTTATCATTAGCAATGAGAGGCCGGCGGTACACATGATCTCTTTGCATTAAGATGCCATCCGCGTTCCGCGAATGCATATATGCCAGGTTTGCCTTCATCTCTTCTGAGGGGAGCATGCTGATATTCTTTAACCCGAGAGGCTCGAAGATATTCTTCTGGAAGTAGTCGTTAAGCAGAACGCCAGTAATGCGTTCGACGATAATTCCGGCCCAATCGATGTTCACCTAGAGGCACGGGTTATGATATGAGCATGCGGATGATAGATGATATATATATATTCCTTGTCTTGTTTTTGCTATGCAATACGCACTCCATATTCAAATCCCTCGCCAGGTTGAGATATCAACGGCTGCAAAACATCATATATATGGCCGGAGAATTCATCGTAGCCAATTGGTCGATTACAGTCTCGTAATTGCTTGTGGAAAAAGGAATACCCAAATCCAGCTATTATCATAAAAGAAAACACCCCCTCACCAGTATGGGTCAGCAGCATCCTTAGTGTAATGCCCCTTTTCTTCTCCACAAAAGACCCGTCTTTCTGCACGACCTTAAGATCTTTCAGCTCCGGGCATATGCCTTCAACCTGTTCAGCATCATCTAGGGAAAGTTTCCCTTGCTCTACCAGCTGCATGCAGGCAATCCCCGTAATCATCTTCGTAAACGACGCAATCCAAAAGACAGAGTCCAAAGTCATCGGCTCATTCACACCCTTGCCACGTTTGCCGGCGGCATGGGCGAAAATCTGTTTGCCGTCTCTATTAGCGACGAGAAAGGTCACACCTGGGATTCCTCGCTCCTGGTCCGCACAGGCATCCTCGAGAGCCTGGCGGATGAGGGAGACACATTCGGGAGAGATGTCCTTGCCCATTGCCAATATGGTAATTTTGGGAGTCTCGAGGTCGAAAATGGAGTTAGGGACTCCCTGCTTTCCTGGAAATGTTTATATATCCAGATTTCAGCACACTGGAAGGACTGAATATATGGGTTCAGGAATCTGAGGAGGGTGAACAGAGCGTGTCTAGCTCCAGTTTCCCCACTTCAGTTCTCCTCTTGAGAATGCTTGTCATGCCATCCCCGCTTCTTGGGAGATCCTACCCCTCCTCTATCCATTAATTTAGTCTCCTTAAGGGTTAAGATGAAACCAGTTGCAAGAACATTTCCCTATTCGATAGCTTTTAGAAAAACTAACCATATCACTTTTGCCCTGGGCTAGCAAACGTATCGCCATGCAAGACTTTCTGGGGCGATCCCTATTCGAAGACACATGGCATAATAGGCAGTTAATGGCATATAACAAGATAAGAGCCGGAGTCCCCGTACGTAGATGCGATTCCTGTGCCTTGAAGGAAAATTAAACTCCAGGTATATCACCGCTAGATGGTGGTTCCTAATGAAACCAATGGCCAATTAAGTGAAGCCCTTCGTTTTTAACATCAAAAAGAGCACATTCCTATTGAGAACAGGCATTCCCCACGCTAAACACATTATTTATCCCCTTCGTCTTTCAAGTTAAGTATATCACAGGAAAATACGAGTCTAGCAACTTGTGTAAACAGATTCCTGGCATTGAATGAATTTATTCACCACGAATCACCATTCTGTGGGTGGAAAACACTTGTTTCTGGGTTTAACTACTGTTCGAGAGAAAAAGCTCCCTGCTTATATACAGTTGCTGGCGAATAGGGTAAAAGGCATTTGATGAATCCTTCCAGCGGTCACAAACAAGGAAAAAGAGGTAGTTACACATCTGTGGTGAATGTGACCCAAATAGCACCAAACCATAAACCGGCCCACAGATGATCCAACCGCAAAAGCGCAGAATGAAAACATGAGATGAGATATTCTCGCTTGCAACTGCAATGAAGAACAAAATTATACGCAATCAGTTGACATCATATGATCGTACAGGATGCAATTTTGACAACCAAGGAGGTATGCATGCTCTCTGTGTTTGGCAGGTATACACAGCGCACGGTGAAGGTCTCAAACCTGTCTAACCACCACATCAGGGGGATAAATTTTTAGATTGATCAGTCTCGGAAGAACTCGCACTTACAGCATCTCTCTTTTCCCTGGACTTTTCAGGTTTAAGTGAAATATATAGACGTCGTTTCGGAGCAAACCCTGGGATTCGTATCGGGTAACAAGACCTTACCTGGACCATTGTAGGTACCCGAACAGATCTCGGGAGATCTGGGGCACACAGTTCGTCATTGGTCGGAGTCATCTAACCAGGCGTCAAATTTTCGGCAGAAATACCTGCATATGGATGTGCTCTGTCCGGGGATATCTAGGGTGAGGCTTTTGGTAATCAAAGATGTTCCAAGGTTGCTTTTGAGCGGACATCCATCATTGTATATGTAGTATTGTAGAGTCAAGGCCTTTCGAAGGGCAGAACATAGCTTTATAGAGAGTAATAGGGCTTTGAAGGGAATAATATATGCAGAATAGGCCACTCGAGAGCAGTGTAGCTGTTATATATTTATCTAATTAGAGTGGAACAACAATGAGAAGAGCAGAGTTGAAGATAGAGAGTACATAGATCAGTCGTTTGATTGTAAGACCTTGAATACACTAGTTAACTTGCCTGATTCAGAATAGCAACTTAAGCAAGAGGCTACAGTTTGAACAACTATGATTTTAAACTTAATTACTGTTGTAAAATCATGATCAATTCTGGTTTACCAATCTAAATAAACACAGTCTATTTGAACATGGTTTTAAATCTCGACTGGATAACCTGGCGCCTCATTAGTTAATACTACGTCACTCCTTACACATCTCTGTATTTTTTTGATGATAGTGATTTTATTATATTTCTTAGATTCTTTTGCTTTAAATTAACTTTAGCCTTTTAATTCTAACTTAATACTACAATTTATTTTTAATCCTTGGTTCTGAGAAATGACAAGATTGAACAGAGATATATTAATAATATAATAAGTCAAACAGTTAATCAAATTGAACGATGATTTTTAAATTATCTTTAATTTTCTAACTCATCTCCTTCAACATGCCAAGCATGCCTTTAATTCATTTTAAAATAGTGAAAAGAAATTCTACTAGGAAAGAGGGATGAATTATAATTAACTCAGTGATCACTCATATTATAGAGTTCATGACTGTATGTAATTTAGACGAGAATATTTTAGTTGATTATGATTTTAAAAGAGTCTAACTTATAAATCACATATGTTACTACTACATCTATCTCTACTCAATCTCACCACTCTCAATACCAGGGTTAGGGGTAGATTGAGCGTTAGGATTCGGTTAAAATTAAGCTAGGATTATAGTTAAGAGATACGAACTTTCATCAAGAGCATATAAAAATGTGTTAACGATATTGTGTGGGGTTATGATGACTGGCGCATGCAGCTTTAGTGAGGGGCGTCATGTTTAAACCACCAAGCTTTTTCTGGCTCAATTTACAACCAGGTTCAAAACTGAATGCTCCCGTGGTGTCATTCTCGGGGTAAACAGTGCAATTGTCAATCCCCGTCCAATCACACCAAGATGTGGAGGGGAATTAACATTTCAAGCTCATTTAGCATAGAAACGGATCCACTACTCCGAACAGAGATAACGAGTTAGTTAACTAGTCTTAGGTTAAAAACGCTCAACATATGGCGGATCGTCTCCAGACTCCGTCGGGCGGAGTTACTTCAAGGGATCGTGATCAAACATCCTTTCTTTGTCCATCCGAAAAGGTGCATATGAATATACTGGGGGAAATTCGAATCTGCCTGGTTTCCTTAACACTCCTCAACAATTTTGATTAATATTGATCATGACGATCAAATAACATTAACATCCCAAGAGATTTCTTTGTGTCTTATATGGTGGTTCCCCACACCCTGAGCGTGAACACCAGAGCTTACTGACCGACCCCGGACTCGTTCTGAGGTTTGTTTACGAACTTTGGGTCATGGACAGGTTGGATCCGAAGTATATTCGTACCTAACTTTACAAAGGGCCGGCAGTCTATGATTTTGGTTTTCGGGCATGGTCCGTATATTATTATGCTTTGGATTATTTGCAGACGTCCATCACAGAGAACCTATCCCTAAACGCGGGAGCCTTTAGGTGAAACCTTCCAGTAGTTAATGGAAAAGGAGTATCTATTGTGTTAATTTGTTACCCAACGCTGCGATGCACCCTCTATCCCACACCACTGACCTCAGGCTCCAACCTCTCATTATCTTCGTGCCACAGAAGCGATTTGTTACAGCTGGTCATAAAAGGCGAACCTGCAACGGCTGGAGAATTTTGCTAGAACCTGCAAGAAGAACCATTCTCTTATCGGATTTCTTATACTTCTCGACTCTCTTTGTTTCTTCTTCGCGTCTGGAAGTCTATTCGCACCCCGTGTGCATTTAGTTTCTCTAGGTTATCTGAGTAAGGAAAGTGCAGCAGCATGAATATAATTCATTTACTATATTTGAGGACGAAAATCGACGTTATTCAAAAGATCCAGTAACAAATACACAAGGGAATATGCAAAATCACAGGAGTTTAGTATACAAACTAACAAGTCTATGAGGTATCAAGGCTAAGGATAAAAATAAACCTAAAAGAAATTCACACAAAGCATTCGACAATTTTATATTAGCAGGGTCGAGAAGGAAGCGTGCAAACTAAACAAGATAGGGGCTGGGCACGGAGGAAATGAAAAACAACGTCTGACGGCTCGATATATTTCCGCATAACCCTGTCAATTTTTCTTCTAATTTTATTCCTCAATTGGTGCTGGAGGTATGTCTTTGGTGCCTTCCAAGGGAGTAATACAAAAGCGGCTTCGTCTTATTAGGTGACGAGGTGTAAACCTAGGAGTGTACGAGGTATTTTTGTATCTAAACAAGAACATAGAGTGCGCACATCTAACTCCAGAGTCAGTTCTCAAGCCATTTCCTCAACTGATCTAGTTCGAGGACCCAACGTACCAGGGAGAGACCGATAATCATGGAAATCCAAAAGCAAACATTCTAAATGAAGACTCAAAGATTAACTTGGGTATGAGTGATTGTAAAAGTAATGCACTACTAACATTGAATGTTTTCCGACCCCTGACAAACCTGGAGCGCTGTACGGCTACAATAGGTAGCTGCGACATCATCGCGAGAATCCCATACCCTCGAATTTTCTTTGTGATACAGGCCATAACCAGCTCATGTCCGATGGAGCTTATGAAGAATGTAAGAGCCATTGCCCCAGAGCTGGAAAAGTGATGTAAAGAGGAGAAATAAACATGGCGTCGAAGGAAATGATGGACAGGGATATTCCACTCTCTAGAGAACTCCAGCCTACACGAACAGACCATGTTAGCATATGGAAAATAATATGTTCCATAGCAAAACGATGAGGAGACGCGTTCATACCAGTCGCAGGAGTTCCACCAGTCAGCATAGAATTTGCGATCCGCAAAGCGCGTAATTTCCGCAAAGGCGTTCAGCGTATATTCGAAAATAACAAGAAAGACCAGTAGAAAAGTTATTACAAAAGGTAATAACATCATGCTAATTGTTTCTGCCAGGACTAAAACCTTCTCGGACTTGCTGCCAAGGCTCTGCAGCCTTTCAGCAGATTCGTCGAGTACGGGAATGATGAATTCTTCGCTAATATTTGTAAGTAAGAATATGCAGCCAAAAACGGCCAAAGTTTTGAAGAAAACTTCTGTCCATCGGATTTCCTTCGTGCGTGGATATTCGAGTTCGTAGCATAGAGTAGGGCAGAGCAGATAATCGATGTAATTGCGCAACGTAAGATTCTGGGGGTATGAAACGTGGCCGAGAGGAGAGGTTAACTCTTTTGCAAGGTCCGAGCGGAGTTTGGAAAGCGATTGTTGGGATTTCTCTTCTGTTTCGTTAGACTCCGATTCCGTACTCTCGTCCATCGTCCGACTCTTAGACCGTGGATAGCGCACAGCTGCACACAATGATTGGGACTCCGGTATGTCTAAAGCGGATAGACGAAGTTCGGTCTCCCTCAAATGTCCATTGTAGAAGGCGTAGGAATGCATTTTCATTAGAAGCGTTAAGGTATGTAAGATAAAGAATACTTGGGCGGTCCAAGTCCATTCAAGCAGGAATGGCACACTGAAGGAAACAGATAATCAGTATATTGCTTTAGTTCTATGATTATGATAACGCGAAGAGGGCACATACGCTACCCATAGAGAGAGCCATGCGAATTGAAAGATACTTTGCAATACCACCCCTCCTCTCAACCACCTTAGCCAGCCCCCGCCGTTTCTAATGATTAAATGGAGTGGGAGAGAGAATGCGGTACTTGCGACCATGGCAAAGTCACAAAAACCCAATTGCCAGACGTTCGCAGAGAACAACAGCCACACTTGTACGCGAAATGGATAACCAGTATCTTTTATGTTGCGCACAACCGTCGTCATCACCATGATAAACAGACTAACCCAGAACAACGAAAAGAAGCCATGGAAATCTCGATAGTCGCTATTTGGGTCGAAATGTGATACCCTGGGTTTGTATTCAATGGAGTAGAATAATCTCTGTCTTGCCTGAGCTCGCATCTGCTTCCTTGCGCATGATATCGACTGTACAGAGGGAGGCGCGTCGTCTGGAATAGGAGTTGAACGGCCACTGTGACAAAGAGGTTAGGAACGGCCGGAGTCGCACAAAAGAGGAGATATTGGGAGAACAAATTCAAGGGTGAGAAAGTATCTACCTTGGTATATCTAATAACATTCTATCCACGCCTGCTGGCGGAGTGAGAACGTGCTCTTCATTTTGGTTTCTCGACCGGACTGCTCGTGACCGTAAGACGCTGGTTCCAGCGTCGCCGTTGAGATGCCCGGCGGGCATGGTGAGGAAGGATAAACGAAGGACTGCAGGATAGGAACAGAAATGATGGTGGTTGACAGGAAGAGATTATAATACGGTAAACATGGTCAATATAGGCATTGACGGAGACACCGCTGGCTCAATGCCTCAGGATTGAATAAACAAACACCCCCATAAAATAACATTTTTCACAGATGCTTCAGGTGAACCTTCCTGGATGATGTCAGCCGCTCCCGCAGCCGCACGCCGCTCTAGCGCTGATTAGGAATTGTGCTGACTTCATGAAGGAATTGGAAGGCTACATAGCCTGCATAACCCCTCTTGCAGAGGTTAAATCAGCACTAAGAAATCTGTCAAGCTTTCTTTGACCTGCAGAAAATACGGAGTCGCGTTAGTCACCATCAGCCGCTTCTGGCGTTCTCAGCTCTGACACGGCTTTTATATGCGGAGACATGCTCCACCTAGAATAGGCCCAATCTGTTAACAATAGAAACATATCCCACTGAAGTTCCTTGTGCTGTTTACTATCCAATTTTCTAGCCAGTCGAAATCTACCCGAAAGACTCGCAAAAGAGCTGGATCAGGTAGACATATTCACAACCCGGGGGTGGGTGTGTTTTGTGGACGAATTCCAGGGCGTCATGAGCACAACACGTATATGAGCCATAAATGGGTCAATCACCTTTGCAACTGTAAAACATTTGAAGCATACACAATACATAGAAACGGTCCCTAAGTATGTGTAAAGGCTCCGCCTGGTTAATGGATCCCATCTGGCATCCGTAGGAGCTTAAAGGAAGCTTCCACAACATGTTGTGTTCAAACTACGAAATATTTAATATTTAGCGCCTCTGTGGATCAGCCTGGTGGAAGCTGCATACTCCGTACATAGCCTTGAAATAGTGTTAGCCAAACTGAATAACAGAGCTGTACTCCGTACTTAATAGGTACATCAACTCATCAATTCCCCAGTGGTGGATGTCAAGGTTTAAAAATGGAGCAAATCACGTGAATTATCAAAGTGGATTTTCCGCTAGACCGTATACGGCTAGCTACGAAGTTTACCCACCTTGGGCAGAACAAGATCGCTGACGCCCATGAATCTCGAGATGTGAAAAGCAAAAGTGAAAACAGGGACTGGACACGCCAAACGTTCCTTAGAGGCCCAGAAACGAACGACATCAGAGTAGACCCTCCAGTTTCAAGGTCCTGGCGCCCTTGGTGACCAACTACTTTTCGTTGTGCCTCGTTTGGGGTCCTTGCGACCACAATGAGTTCCCGTAAGTTCATGTTACTCCGCCCTCCCTTCCTCCTTTCTCTCCCCTGCTTTGGAACCTCTGTCTAATATCAATCCTAGTAAAGCAATTCATTCGGAATGTGCGAGCGTCAAAAACTATCGCGGATGAACGGTCAGTGATTCAGAAGGAGAGCGCTGCGATTCGAGCCAGTTTCAGGGAAGAGAGTGCAGATTCAAATATAAGGTATGTGGGAAAGACAACGTCAGGTATCTGGCAGAACCCTTTTCTAACGCGGTTTTACAGGAGGAGGAATGTGGCGAAACTACTCTATCTTTTTACGTTGGGTGAGAGGACGCACTTTGGTCAGATAGAATGCCTCAAACTCCTGGCATCCCCGCATTTTGCGGACAAACGATTGGGATATCTAGGAACAATGCTGCTCTTGGATGAGAATCAAGAGGTTCTGACACTGGTAACAAATTCATTGAAAAAGTTGGTCCTGCGAATTTCATTCTATCCCTTTTTTATCTTTTTAAAAAGAAATTAACTTTGTCCAATTGTGCCGCGCAGTGATCTAAACCACTCGAATCAATATGTCGTTGGTCTCGCCCTCTGTACATTGGGGAATATTGCTTCTATTGAGATGTCGAGGGATCTATTTCCCGAAGTGGAGTCTCTCATATCCACAGCAAATCCCTATATCCGCCGAAAGGCCGCTTTGTGTGCCATGCGTATCTGTCGAAAAGTCCCTGATCTCCAAGAACATTTTATAGACAAATCCAAGGCTCTTTTGTCGGATCGAAACCATGGAGTCTTGCTGTGTGGCCTCACCCTCGCAACAGAGTTCTGTGAAGAAGATGAGGCAGTAGGTGGACATGAGGTTATTGACAAATATCGACCCCTTGTCCCAGGCCTCGTCAAGGTTTTAAAAAGCCTTACGACTTCTGGGTACGCTCCGGGAGCACGATGTCTCTGGAATCACCGACCCATTCTTGCAGGTAAAGATCCTTCGGTTCCTAAGAGTCCTTGGCAGAGGCGATGTCGCTACGAGCGAATTGATCAACGATATCCTCGCCCAAGTCGCTACCAATACTGAGTCCTCCAAAAATGTTGGAAATTCCATACTTTATGAGGCTGTCTTGACCATTCTCGACATTGAAGCGGATTCCGGTCTTCGTGTACTAGGAGTGAACATCCTCGGAAAATTCTTAGCTAACAGAGACAACAATATTCGATATGTGGCGCTCAACACCCTCATTAAAGTAGTGGCTGTGGAGCCCAATGCCGTCCAAAGACATAGAAACACGATTCTAGAATGTTTACGGGACGCTGATATTAGCATACGGCGGCGGGCTTTGGATCTTAGCTTTACCCTTATCAATGAAGGCAACGTCAGAGTTCTTGTCAGAGAACTCTTGGCGTTCCTTGAAGTTGCCGATAACGAGTTCAAACCCATTATGACAACTCAGATAGGGATAGCTGCCGATCGATTTGCCCCCAATAAACGATGGCACGTCGATACTATGCTTCGGGTCCTTAAACTTGCTGGTAACTATGTCAAGGAACAGATTTTGTCTTCTTTCGTTCGCCTTATTGCAACAACTCCAGAACTCCAAACCTACTCCGTCCAGAAACTTTACACTAGTTTAAAGGAAGATATCTCTCAAGAAGCGTTAACCCTTGCTGCTTCCTGGGTTATTGGCGAGTATGGGGATGCTCTCCTCCGTGGTGGACAATACGAAGAGGAAGAACTAGTGAAGGAAGTTAAGGAAAGTGATATAGTGGACCTTTTCACCAACATACTTAATAGCACCTATGCGACCCAAGTCGTGACCGAATACATTATTACGTCTGCAATGAAATTATCGACAAGAATCACGGAACCCGCACAAATCGAGCGTATTCGACGTCTTCTTAGTAGTAGATCTGCAGATCTGAGCGTCGAAATTCAGCAAAGAGCGGTAGAGTACACTAATCTGTTTCGGTATGATCAAATCAGGCGTGGAGTGCTGGAGAAGATGCCTCCCCCCGAAATCCGGGAAGAACAGAGGGTATTAGGGGAAGCGACAAATAAACGGCAAAGCAGAATGTTGAAAGACAAGTCCAAAAAACCTGCCAAGCCATCAGAGCAGGATATACTCCTCGACCTTATGGGTGGCTCCGACGATAGTTCCGCCAATATCGCCTCCACGGCCAATGAATCCCAGAATACGGCTGACCTATTGGCCGACATTTTGGGCGGAGGCTCCTTACACGCCACTACTCCCAGTCCTTCTCAACCCGCACCCGCCCAGTCGCCCAATATAAGCGCTATTATGGATCTTTTTGGTTCGAACGGCACCTCACCAGCGCCTCAGGCGCCACAGCCGTCCTCATCGATTGGGCTTCTGGGAAGCCTCGAGACACCTGCCGCTCAAACGCCTCCCCCAAGCTCTGCACCTCCTGCCCAAACTGTATTCGAGAAGAACGATTTGTTATTGGCACTCCAAATCCAACGGAGTAGCGCTGGAGCTCAAATATTGGCTCGTTTCCGGAACACGTCTGCTTTTGACCGCTTCTCCGGAGTTGGGTTGCAGGTGGCGGTACCTAAAACTCAAAAACTTCAGCTCAATGCCATCAATAAGTCTGATCTGGAAGGTGGAGAAGAGGGAACTCAGGGAATGAGAGTTACTTGTATAAATGGGGTATGTAATTTTTTTTTTTTACTCTGTTATTCCTTTTCGTCGTCCTTTTTTTTCTTACCTCCTACCACACAACCATTCATTCTGTTTTCGAAAAACCATTTTTGATTCCTGACTAACGACTCATGTTTTTGCGCAATCGCAGCCCTTGTCAGGGAAGCTTCGACTTCGTCTTAGAGTCACCTACTCCAAGAACGGAGCACCTCCAGTGACTGAGCAGCTAGCTTGGACAGAACCTTGAGAAGGAGAGATAATGTTTTGGTAATGTTGGTCGTGACCTTTCAACTGAACGCCTTACTCTTTCCCTCCCCCCACACCCTTTCCGCTTATCGCAGCCTATTGTCAAATATATTACTGGAGATGATAGGCTGTAGTCTCTACATAGACATATGCGCTTAAATGATAGTAAATTCAAGATGCCTCAATTAAATTTTCAATTTACGTTGTTCATTGCGTTCATTTGCATTATTATATTATGTTCATCTTCTGTTTGTGTCTCAAATGCTTTATTGAAATGTCCTGCTAATAAAGTCTTAAGGGATCTGAGCATTTACAATTCACACGTTCTTCCAAAATTCCCCTTTTGTGGTTTTTCTTGATGCGCATTTTCAATAAATGACCTAATTTTCTTGCATACCTCGCCTGCGCAGTTATGGTAAAACTTTTGTATCCTGTTGCCAATTCCTGGTTTGTTTGGAAAAGGCAAGATCGTACGCTGTTAGGACCTGCCATTTCTCAAAGCATGCCACCGAAATCAATGCTGTGAGTATTACAATGCGGTGTGAGTTTACAGAGTGCAGCGCAGACACAGCCACGTCCACGAGTTTACCTTCCCCTCTATGCCCAAACTCTCAGTCGTACTGTGCTGCAAAATTGTACGCTTACTGGGAAGTGCGCATTCCTGCTCTTCACTGGCCTCCTATTCCTCCCTCCCGCACTATGTTCCCGTTTGGGGGGACTTGGAGGTGAATAGGGGGCTAAGGGGTGCTCCGTCTTATGAGCTCACCCCCCATCCCCTCCCCCCTCCCGCTGCTGTTTCCCAGATCCTCCATCCAGCCCCTATTCAGAGAAAGGACCACCGCGAGACGAGCTCTCCTGTAGAGAAAACAAGACCACTTTCTGTGCTCATCCCAAACTCTAACTGGTACTGCTCCTATAGACTCTTAACCCAAAATGAACTAAACCCAGACTGCTCTCAGTGTATGGTTTATTCTACGAGATACAATGATGTCAATATATGCGTTTAATATATCTTCCCCTACAGCTGGAAAGAGCAAGGCTAGAATCTTATTATTACCAGGAGGTTTTTCTATTTCACAGTTCCCTCCCTGCTTCTTCATCTCCTCTTCCTTTTCCTCACGACGTATCTACCCTCATTCAGTTCGCAAGATCCACATCTACATAGCGCCGTGTATAAATTTCGTCTCCGTGCGCAAGAGTCCTTATATAAATATATACTGCCTCTGTCGGTATTCCGATTTGCACATACTACTTATCTTTCTTAGAACAGATAAATATATATCCAAAGGATCAGCAAATAGAAGAATACATATTCTAGCCAGCGATGTTGGAACCCACATTTCAGCCGCCGCGCCATCTCTCTTTCCCCCAGACAGTTCCAAGTCTGCGACAGTGCTACATGAAGGGGCGGGAATGGGAAGCCGCTTTGGCCCTTTGCGAGCTTTCCCTCGTTTATCGCCAGGACGCAAACAACAGGACCACAGCAGTTGGCAGGCGCAACAGCTACCCGCTAGACTCCACAGATGATGCGCCTCTAGCGGCTCTGCCTTCACCTGCGGTGGACTATCCCAGCGATACCGACTCTGAGCTTCACCAAACGTCTTGCACGCTCTTACATCTTGCGCGCAACGATTCCTCCGACACTATACCGTTGGACCCGGACTCTCCAGAAGCGGCAGATGCCTCGCAAATCAGATCTCTGGAACATAGCTCCCACAACATAGCGGCGCAACCTCTCCCTCAGGATTCATCCGAAGATCCTCAAACACCATACGCACCCGTTCCCAACAGCGTCAATTCCACCGTACATGCACAAGAATGTGGCGACCAAGGGAGTGAGATTTCGTTCGGAACAGTGGTCCTTCGCCTTAATGCCCCTGCCAAGCTTAAGAGTAGCGTATCAGCTTGCAAGCGTGCATCACCACCAACTCCAGAACCAACAAGGAGATCCACAAGGAAACGGAAGGAAAGCCGCCTCATGATCGAGTCTCGGGAATCGCAAGCCCTGGAGGATTCATCCAGAGCATTACCAAAAAATCTAAGGTCCCATCCATGTAAACATGCCTCCGTCGCCGCCTTTTGCTAATCTTGCGATCTCCTTTCAGATACTCTAGGATATTGGATAGCAAAGGCGTCGGAGGAGGCTTTGGTGTTGTCAAAAGCCCTCTTGCTTTTCCCACTTTCATTCATCGCATGTTTGTTTTCCATATTTCCATACCTTTTTACTTATCGCTTTTGGGAAACTGGGTTCAATATCCCTTTGCCCCCTTACCCGTTCTCGATACTTTGCGATGTTTGGATATTTTATTCCTTCTGATAACATGTACATTCCTCTATCTACCCTATTCGGTTTTAATGTCGGTAGTGTCTGAAATTCCTCCTCTCGCCACTTCTTATGTTTGTAAATTTTCGGTCGTCTCTATGTTCGTTGGAAATACCATGTATCGTCACCTGTACAGCTCCATTCCTTTATCCCTTCCACCTTTCTGGTCAAATATCTGGATAGTTGAATCTTGGGTGCTCTCTGGCCCCCCCCTTTCCCAACACAATCACATGTGCTGTTTTCATGTTTTGTCTTGGGTGTTTGGCATTCATAAGTGCTCAATATCCTCCACTCGTTGTATCACCAGCTATATATTGAAGTTACCATGGGTAGTTCACCTGAATAAAACACTATACAGCTATCCATACAAATCCGTCAGCTAAGAGAGTAATATCCTGTTGAGTATCTTCACTTCTTTTTACATAAAACGGGGGCCGTGGAAAGTAACAAGTAAAATGCATCAAGATTGGTGCTGGAACTAAAAATGAGGTCATTGCGTGTATATCATGTGACTTGAGAGCAGAGTATAAAAAATGACCTCAACTTTGGGTTTGTCCCTCTAATTAGTTAAGGTTTGGCATTCTTTTAAACCTGAACGGTTAAGTTAAAGGAACGAGATATGCTTATCTTGAGTTACCATAATTTCGACGTCAGGGGAAACCAGCCTAATTCTCCAGCAACTAGCCCCTCGCTTTCTTTGAAAAACAATGCATGACAGGAAGGCTTTCAGCAGGGTTCCACTGCTTGAAGCCTTTTAATGCATACATACGTATTTCTCGACAATTCCGCGTTTCCCACGCCTCATTTTAATTCTGCACATGCAGTGACTGCACTTCGCCCCCAATCCACGCGGACTAGCTATCAAGCTCAGGTTTTCTCCAGTTGCGTCCTCACGGAGGCAGCCAGTTGCCACAGACATTAGCTTCTGGAGTGGAGTGAACAAGAAAACGGGGGCCAGCCTGTTTAACTAACTGACCTACCTGCTTCCGGTATACTCATCGTAAACTGCGACGGCATCCCCCCCCTTCCCCACCCCCCCTCCCCGGCCATCTCGCAATGCAGAAATCGCCGTCAAAATAAGAACATGCACAATGACGTCTATGGGGCGATGGCAGTGTGAGCAGCCAGCCCAGTTTCCGAACTAATAGTTTAAACTTGTCAAGTCAGACCCCGCGAAGGCCCGCCCCGAAGGAAAAATCAGGGATGTAGCTACTGTAGGTCGCTGAAACTAAACCAAGACCCCGCCATTCTTCTTATGGTTGCTTTCTTTTCTTTTCTTTTTTCTTTTTTCTTTTTTCTTTTTTCTTTTTCTTTTTCTTTTTCTTTTTTTTTTTTTTTTGATTTCTTTCCGATTTTCCTTATGACTGATAGACCTTGTCTCTAAGAACGTCACTTTGTATGGCTTTTCCCTCCCTAACTTGTCAACGTTCTTTAACTTATAATTACTAGTCAAGATCTATATTTCTGAACACTGGGGGGGATTTTGTGAATTTGTCAGTATCATCTGTAAGGTGTGATGGTTGAAAATGAAGTGTTTCTATTCATATTCTGACATTATTCTCTCCAGGTTCTAACGATGACTGACTGTTTAACTTACTCATATACTTTCATATCAGATTTGAGAATGTCAGTGTCTTCTCTCTCTATGCTCATTCTATTGTTCATCTTGCTGAGCATCAACTGTGAAACATGTTAAGCTTAATTTCAGCAGTGTGTTATTATTCACTCAATTCCCACTTAGTTAACTATGAGCTATATAATAAGTAGCACAAAAAAAAAAAAAAAAAAAAAAAAAAAAAAAAAAAAGCAAGGAGTATATAAAGAAACCCAAAAATGTCAGCAGATGTATTTTACTTTTAGTTATACAAGGTTACAAGAATGATGAGATAAATAATGAGATCATGATACAAGAGCATCTTAGACAAGATATATGAAACCGAGAGAAAAAAGAAAAGGAAAAAGAAAACATGGATAATAAAATAATTGGATATAGTTATACTTATCTGTTATATAGACTAGAACAACCCAGCTGCTATTTAAAATTGTAAAGCAAAAGGAGGAACCAACATTGCAACAAATATAACTCCAGATATGATTCAAAAACATGAAAAGAAAAAAGAAAACAAGGTGACAAAGTTTTAAGAATTCATCACAGACTCATAAAGTTCAGGCCATTGCTTCAGTTTTCATCAATGCCGATAAGCCAAAAAACACATAAAGAGACCACAGAGATCAACCAACAAAAATAAATATCATCCGATGCCCCTCTCCCTTCCCAAAACCCTTCACATACCCAGCCAGCCCACTGAAGTAACATTGATGCTAAAATTAAACGTAGGACAATTGAAATACAAACGAACGACTGAAGAAACCGGGTCAAGAAAGAAAATAAAACGGAGGGTTAAACACTGACTCAAACTCCTCAGCTGGGGGAAGGGGGGACAAGACAAAGCAAGAAACAAGCCATCTCCTTGCATTGCCATGCCATCAGATATAGAGATGGGGGAGTCGTAGCATGTTTTTTCCTGCCGATTCTGGTAGTATAACGCTAGATATCAAAGGAAAGGGCACGGTATGAGATTTGAAAAAGCAAAGGCGTAAAAAAAAAAAAAAAAAAAAAAAAAAAAACCCAGACAGATCAATAATTGAGAGATCGTTCAGGTAATCGTTAGGTCATGAGATGTAAAGAATAAAAACATATATGAAAACGTAGAGAATCAGAGAAATGTCATAACAACATTGATCCATGAGGTTCGTATAAATAAAAATAAAACAAAGAAGAAAAAAAACAATACAACGTTCGTTCAACACAATCAAGGGGAAAAAAAAAAAGAGAAATCATAAAGTTCATCGCTTAGCATAATGGAGCTGATTCATTTCGAGCATATGTTCGCGGATAAATTTATCGATATCCATTAGGATCGAGAGACCCCTTCCTCGAGCTCGGAACGTAACTGTACCGGATGTTTTCCTCGGAGATATGGGGAGAATAGCGTATGTCACTGTCGGGAATTATTATCTTAGGCGTTTCATATTGGTTTGGTGGGACTTCGCCAAACAAGCCCGCTCCAGAAGGGGCTGGTGCGGTGGTTCGCAATGAAGGTATGGTACTCGACTCGTAATAGGTTGGCATGTTGTTGTGATCTAGCGGGTAGTTGTTATAAGTCCTGGACCTGGAGAGGGGTGACGGAGGTGGTGGGTTGGACAAGGATGGACGACGTGTCGGAGAAATGCTCTGGTTCCGTCTGACGTTGCTATAAAGACCAGTAGTGGGGTCGCGGACAGATCGATGGGACATGTAATTTTCACTGTCCTCGACGACAGTATATCTACCTGATACTGGTGGGCTTGTTCCCGTGCGCATTTCTGGTGTCCCAGGACTGGAATAGCCGGAGTCAACGGGCTCCCTTACTTTGGAGGATAGGAAGGATGGAATTTCCGTGTGGTGACGAGATAGGACTGAGTATGGCAAGGTCTCTGATCGACGGGGGAGTGGAGGGTGGGATTTTGAAGTAGATCGATGGGAGGAGAAGGAGAAGGGTAGCTTAAATCCCGAGGGTGCAGAAGTGGTGCTTTGCAAGGTAGGAATTCGAGGAGACATGTGGGGTTTCAGAGATGAGTCCAGTACATCAGCTGATCCCATGCGATCTCTTCCGGATAAGCTGGGGCGTGGAGAGTCCCTGGTTCGGGGTGTTGCAGACGAACGGTGGGGAGTATCGACATGCACGGCACGATGGGCAGAAGGAGATGACCACGAGGAAGACGGATGACGGTCAGTATCGTATGAATATCCGCCGCTTTTCGATCGTTGGATATACTTTTTAGCGTCGTCTAATTTCGACGAAGACCATTCCTCTGTATAATCCTCCTCATCGTCCTTAGAATGTCTCGATGACGATTCCTTGGAATCCGGTTTGGATCTCCTTCGATGTTCTTCATACTGCTGCGGCTGCGGCTGGGGCATGGTAGTATAATGTTGGTACTCTGGGTTTGTGGCGGAATATTGCTGCGTATCCGGAGTCGTAGCAGTATACTGTTGCCTATCCGGAGTCGAAGCAGTATACTGTTGCCTATCCGGAGTCGAAGCAGTATACTGTTGCCTATCCGAAGTCGTAGCAGTATACTGTTGTCTATCCGGAGTCGTAGCAGTATACTGTTGCCTATCCGAAGTCGTAGCAGTATAATGCTGCGTATCCGCAGTCTCGTTGGTATAATATGGAATATCTGAATCAGTATCAGTTTCCGGTTCACTGACCACAAAAGCTTTTGGGTGTTTCTCTGAATGAACTCGATCTCTCTTTCGCTCCTTGTCTCTGTTTTTTGCACGATCCGAGCGACTTGATTTCACAGACTCCCGAGCGTCGCGTATGTGGTCCTTGCTTGAACGACTCGGGACTGGCGGGTTTGATTGTCTGCTCTTCTTCTTTTCCTTTTCCTCTGTAGATTGCTTCTTCCTGTATCCGTCGTATTTCCTCGACGAAGGCCGGGGTTCTTCAAAAAACGGCACATCACTCTCAAAGAACCGACTGCTGCTTTTAGGTGCACGCTCTTCGTATAAAGCCCCGTCTCGATATTCGTATGATTTTGCGAATGCTGAAGGTTGGTATGTAGTTGTGCCTGCATCGTCTTTCCGTGTCTTTGTTTGGAATTTCTTTCCCTGGTCGGTGTGTCGCGCTTTATTATCGTATTCCGCCCGTTTTTTCTCATTCATTAGTAACTCGTAAGAGGATTGCACTTTTTGAAACCTGGGCAAGGAGTCTTTCCGTTGTTCTTCGTCCTTGATCTTATCTGGGTGACACTGAAGCACCAGTTTCCTATACGCGCTTTTTACTTCAGCAATCGTCGCATTTTTTGTGATTCCCAGAGTCTTGTATGGATCTATTGTAGAAGATTCGGACATAGTGTGATAGTCTGAGATTTCGAAGGTGAATTGACTCTATCGTGGAAATTGATCGACTGTGTTCGACGTAGGGAATGTAGTGGACGCGGCTGATTACAGTAGCCGAACGATGAATGTAACCAATATATATCTGACCAGAGGCAAAACACGACAACAGTGGGCCTCATCAACAATGCATTACTGTGAGAAATTTGCTTTATTCGACAAGGTTGCAGCTTAATTGAATTTGAAACGATTAAATGGTTCTGTTGGTGAGTCTTGTGTTGAGGTTGTATATTGGCTTCCTTTGGGATTCTTGGTGATATGAACCAAAACGAGTAGGTAGTAAATAAAGAAAGAATTGGAAGAGAAGACGGCGAATAAAGAAGATAAATAACAGAATATAAAATAGAATATTAAAAAAAATAAAAATATGAAGAATCGTATGATGATCCGCAGAAGTCGCCACGAGGAAGAGAGGGAAGAGGCTGGAGGAGAGCAGAGTAAGACGAGGTTTAGGTCTGATGTTGCGGGTTAATTTTCCCCCCGGTCGTTGGCTACGGTCGTCGGCAGAGCGAGAGTCCTCGTTATTAGTTATTAAAACGGGGAAAGGAACGGGCCTTGGTTGGGGTGAGACCTGCGCCACGGGCCTTTGCGAAAGGAGGGCGTGGCCAAACCCACGCTGCTGCACTGCACAGCTGAGGGCAAATTTTTCAGACCACGTTGGAAGAGCGCGAAAGGCGAAAAAAATGAGGAAAAATGAGCTAGGGAGGCGAGAATATCAACGGCAATGGATGTTGACGGTGTGACAGTGAGAGAGAGAGAGAGATCAGATAGTGGAGAGAGAAAAGAAGACAGATGGTGGGTGTTTCTGGCTTTAGTTTCTAAGAAGGGTGGAGATGTATGGGGTCAGGCCAGAGCCTGTAGAAGCGGTGAAGCAACTGAAAAGGAGAGAGAAAAGAAAGATTGAGAGAAACCCCGCTGGTGGTGATCAGTATAATTAATACTAAACGGAGAGGAGAACAAGAATCAGGGTCAAACAGGACAAGACTGGCTAGCAGGCTAGCTTTTGGGACTGTTCATATGATAGCTACAGTAGTGTCGGAAGTGAATTGGTTGATTCTCCTCCTGTGGCCCCGGCGCTTTCGAGTTGAAGATGCACAAAGATGAGGGGCAGAGTCACGTCACAGGGAGAGGGAAGAGGTTGGAAGATGCAGGCAAATCAAAGCAGAATGGGCCGTTGCTGCTGTTGTGATGCGCTGAGAGAAACTTCGAAGCGCCAGCTGGGATTGTCGATCCGAGAGTGATCTCTGTATAGATAGTCGGGGGGAGGGATTATTCCCGACAAAATATGATAAGAGGAGGGGGGAAATTATATGATTGACTACGGTTAGATATAGTTATTTCTATTCCCCCCCCCCCTCCTCCCCCTCATTTTGAACTTCTTTTTTTCATTTCATTTTTCTTATTCTTTCATATTTCGCTTTTCACTTTTCACTTTTCGTTGTTGGCAATCTGGTGCCCTCGTGCCCCGTGCCTTGTGCCTCAAATATCTCAAGCTAATTTTCTCCCCCAGAAACATCTGATATGGCTTCTCTCCCTATAACGACTGGACTGCCCCCAGGGCGTTGAAACTCCTTCGTGGATGGTGATTTAACGCTGCTTCTAGCAGACCAACAACCTCAAAGTTAACTTACGCCCTCCCTCCTTTCAACGCTTTGTAGGTAGTCCAGCCCCAGTTTGAGGCGAAATCGTATCGAAGAATGTTAGTGCTGGAAAAACATTCTACATTGTATTTAGACGGGAGAGCCAAGAGCTATGGGTGATGGCAATGGCTATGACGATGGGGGATCCAACAGGAACTGCCAAGTCCGATTCACGACGGCAGATCCAGATTGACAGCTTTCCAAGGCTAGTATTTAACGATTCGATATTGGAAGCAAGAATGCAACCACCGAAACAGCTTGCTTTGTTCCGGACTTAACAGTCTGAGTTTGGTCTGATTGGCACTTGGTGGGCGAATGGTGATAGGATGCCCTTTTCACCGCCGAGTGCCCTCCCATTCATCCACCGAATCTTTTCCGTCAAATCCCAGGCTGCCGATATGGAGCAAGCCCTATCTGAGCACTCTTCCAAATGCTGATTAATTTATTGAGAATTGAGACGATGGATTTCGCCATCCTCCTTTGTCTTTCTCTCAAATTCCCTGACCCAAGGGACATTCATTGTTACGACTTTGAAACTTCATACAGAAGTTAAAGCATAGAGGTGTTCTTGTTTTTGACATGACTGCGAGCCGCAGTGTGCCTTGGTTGGAGGTTTCTGGTTTGTTCCTGGTGTGAAACTCTGTCTCCATCATTCGTCGCGGGCAAGGTAAAAAAAGGAAATAAAATAGCGGGGTAACTTTCGTCAACTTTGACTAACTTTTCGGTAGGTGAACTGAAACCTAGCCTTGGTTCCATGGTAACTTGCAGTTGATTTGGCCAGCTGCTTCCGATACCGCACCGTAGATCCAGGCGTTGCGACTTGCCAGCGAATTAATAACTCAGGGTTCTTTGGGGGTTCTGGCCATCCCTTCGCATCACTTTGATTTCCTCATGGGTAGATACGCATGGGAGACGGGTAAGGCGGTTCGTCCAATAAAATGAGTAAATGGGAATGAGTGTTTTGGGAGTAAAATAAAATAAAATGTCTGATACTACACTCTGCTCGAAAGTATTTGGCAAGGGGGGGGTGTTCTGATGGTGCGAAGATGAACAGGCAAAGAGCAAAGCTGCCGGTAGCTGCCGGAATGACAACCAAAAAGTGCAACATCCAAGGATCCAACGGACACAGGTGATTAAGAATTGCAGGGTGGACATGTCACAACCAGCAAGACCCCGAATGTCCCTAACTTGGAGTGCCGCAGTGGGCACGTTATGGTCTGACGTCGCTACCTGGCGTCGTCCGATCCCTGTCCACTTCAACCGTACCAAGGCAACTGACTTGAAGGGGTAACTAAGTTAACTGTCTAGCATCATCATTCCTCTTCTTCCCCACCGCCCGTCATCTTCATCATCAGCCTTCACCTTGAAACAGTGATGGTGATGTGTTAACTATCCATCTCAACCCGCGTAAATCACCTTAGGGTCTGGCAGCGCGGGGATCCACCACTCCTACAACAGCAGATCGAAAATATGCATTATTCGTTCGTGGAGGTTGTCTCTGTTAGACTAACTAGTAGTTAATTAGTTAATACGTCGGCTCCTTGTGGGTCGTGTGAGATATGATAGTAATTGTCCAGAGCACATTCTAGCAAACCCTAGACCGTTCTCGTGCCCTCTTCACTTCTCAAGTGTGGTCTTGATGCCTCTCTCACATCAGGAGTGTGGCCATGCATACACATTATATGCACTCCAATCCCGAGGTGAGGCAATAATTTTGGCTTTTTCACCTGCTTGTCATTGTCATTGGACTGATTGGTGGAAGAAGACTGGTCATCCGCATGGTGGGTGGCCCATTTTTACATCATCCAGGGTTGTAACCTTCCGTCAACCCATGCAAACTGGCTCGTACTATTCGTTCGTTGGTCGAAAACTCCTTGCTGGCGCTCGGCGTTGACATCCTGTGAACTTTGAAGCTTCCATGATTCCTCCTGGAATCAGCTAAAAAAAAAAAAAAAAAAAAAAAAAAAAGGTGCTAGCCACTTGCCGGGGGATTTAGCCAATCGAGTCCCCAGGGCTTTAATTCACCAATGCACGGTTCAAGCCTGGGACATCAACGGATGTTTCTCACCCCTCTTGACTTCTAATACTCTCCAGCTGGCATATGGTTCGTATTTTATGGTTTATTACACAGACGTGGGGGTTTGAGGGGAGGGATGACATATTGTGTAACAGATGAAAGTGAAATTATAATAATTACTGGATAAAACCAAAAAGTACTTACAGGTGGTGGCAGTGCTTCTCCCACTTCCCCATCGAACAATTGGTAAAGTATTTTCATCGCAACCAAGTTATTGTATGGGCTCGCGTCTCCTTCACAAATCATTCACTCTGCATACTCACGGCACAGGCGGGGCGAGAGGGGGCGGGCGGCAATCCGGTTGGCTGAGGATTCGCACCGTTGAGTTTCACTTTTAACCATTAGTTCGCTAGCCTTTTGGTATTGAAACAGATCACCACTAGAAGTTGCCAGGGAAGTTTAGAAGAAGTTGAGGAAACATCTATGAGGCACCACGGATGAGACAGAATCCAGTTGATCTTGGTGATGTGGTTGGCGGGACTAACCATAGGTTGTCTTGAGTGCATTTATCTCTCAGTTGCCCTCTTCAACCAATGATAAAATGTGCTTCTCATCAGGTTATCTGCTATATGCTTGATTAATATATATGCAGACACTGATGAGCATGTTGCTCAAATCTCTTTACCTCATAGATAAATACATAAGACCAGGAGCCAATTGATATTGCCCTTTGCCCTTTTACCTACTTGCTCTTTCACTGCTTGCCCGGGATCTGCCCTTCCTTTTAATATCGATAAGAACCCTATCAACCAACACATATTGATATCGTATGTTATTCTCGAACCTTACATACATTTTCATTCCCGGCTCTCCCTCTGAAATCTTGCGATTCCACAGCCAAAGGGCATGTAGAGTAAATAGCCATAGACTTATGATATGAAACTCAATTTCAATACAAACGCTTGCACACGTCCCAACTTCACCTGTACTTTCTTCACCCCTCCACCACTATAAACGTTCGGTCATCCATCGCCAGTAGCCATGCCCTATCAGCTGCCGTCTCGAACAAAGCATGAGGGGTCTGAAAAGCCATTATCACAGTGACAGTGATGCACTCGATAAAAAAGGTTGCTCCCTTTGCAATTCTGCGCCACTAGGGGTAACCCGACTTCAGGATTCTTCGGCGACTCGTCGACTCCGGACCTGGAGACGTCAGCCACACTCACTGATATTTGCTCACCTGCCATGATTAAGAGTTTGCGCAAGAACTTAGAACCTCTCCCATTGATATGATGAGTAGTTCACAATTTTCAGTGAATTTTATCTGGCTGCAATTCTCCAATAACGTCATTGTTGCACTCTTCATTCTCGTACAATACCTGCGTGAAGGGCAAAGCGAGAGTAGGTTAATATGTTTGGTTTCTCTCCAATAGTAACTAGCCCTAACTACTGGGCTCGCTTAGTCAACAGCGTTCGCAAAGTTGCTGGAAGATATTAAAGTGACGACATCACACTGATGCTTTGTGCGGCTGGAGTGCAGTTCCGCAGATATCCTATGGGTATCTGAGTGAGTTTACGCCTGTCGACAGCCACGCCGTTCCAATTCGTGTGGAATTCTCCCCCGTACACTTGGGGGCGTGTACTGTTCCGATAGTGATCAGCCAGCTAGTTAGGCAGCTGAACTTCCATCAAGATAATGCCTGCCCCACTTGCCCGACGGAAAGATTAATGGTCATTGCATTCAAAGACTCTGAGTCAACGGTTGAATTCGCTGCATACTTCTCGTCGACTTTGTGAGGCACTACTACCTACGTTAGGTACATAACGTTCCCAGGGAAATGTCGTACCACTGCCTCGAACCATCTTTGCAGAGGCCATGACTTCCTCGTGTGGTCTGTGAATTGCGCTTTTCAACAACAGAGCCTTTGCTCTTTACGGTTGGTGAAGACCAAGGCTATGAGCGCTTAAAACGCTTTGCTGACCGCTCCGCCCTCTTTATGCAAAGCAGTCGAATATTTTAGTATGACGACGAATATGAGGGGGAAATGGCAGAAAAGGGCTTCAAGCTGGTTCCCCGGGTGCGCTCATTAGCTTACTTGGTGCTTTCTGTGCCTATATTGGGAAAGTTGAAGTTGGAGATGTCTGAGTATGGCTATCTGAGTCGGGTAGCTTATCGACCTGTTTCGCGAGAAGGCCGGGAGGTTATTTACTCCCAGAATGACGATGATATGGGCCCCTTATCTTGCCACTGCTCACATCTGGACATGTGCATTGGCCCGGTAATACCCAAATCCCAGTCGACGGAGCCTTTCCTGGAGTTCAGCAGTTCTTGTCTGCAGGGTTTCCCAAGACCGAGACTGCGGTGGCATCACAAAAATTAGTCTGCAATTATCCATACACAGGTTATGTATTGCTGACCGGGAGATGGTGCAAAGCAGATAATCGAATGTTGAAAAGTCCCCAGTCGCTCGTATATCGCCATTCTGAACCGGAGACATAAAAATAATGCTGCCCAGATGGTTAATCTCCTTTCTCGAAGATTCCAAAACTCGCTCTTTCTGGGTATTTAATTCATATTCGAAAAGTGGCATTACACAATTTAGCATCATCAGTTCTCTGTCCGAGTTCACTGCACTGAAGCACCTTCACATCATGGCATCTACCCTCTCTTAAACACAGCCTACCACCCACGAGTCTCCCAATCAAATATCTATTGAATATCATCCTGAGTTCTCTATAGACGCCGCGATTCAAGGGGCGAAGGCTGAATGTGTAGATCAGGTTCTAGAGCACCAATCATTGTTTGTAAAGTCTGTGCACACGATGCGCTGACGGGAAAACTGCCAAGGTGGTGCTCCTTGCCTCTGGCAGGTGAGTTTAATGGTGGTGAAGATGACCTCGCATAGTGAGTCATGAGAGCCTTTGGAGTTTTGGGACTGGAGTGGGTGTGTTTTGTGAGTTTAGGACTTTATGCACTTGTTTTACGCCAGCTGGAAAGAAGTAAGGGGGCCCGCTTACTGTGAAGGATAGATTGCTTGATTGATTACGCAGAAGTTATATACGGTGCGGATTACATAAGAAGGCGGATAGGCCTGACAGTTACAGGGTGGGGAACTGCCACCCTGAGAATAATAGTGGACTACTCAGAGAAAATGAGGATAGAGATGGAAAATACATCTCTTTGGCCGTGCGCATATCCACCTCATTGAACTTGGAACCAAACGGAAGTCTATCACGGCTGAGGTGTGCGTGGCTCGACTGAAAGAGTATTGGTTAGCTAAGTATTTAGTTCTTCGACACGCCACCAAGATTACCTCGAATGGACGAATTTTCATATCTATTTGGAGAGTAGAATGGCAGAAGAGGGCATCCATTAACTCAAGGGTTTTAAAACCACTCCACATGACCCGGGCCATCGAAGCTCCCGCTGCTCCTGTAGTGCTGATTGCCCTCCTTGATGGACGAAAAGGCCGCTATAACAGATAGGGTTGATATCGCGATTTCGCTTGGTAAAACAAATAAAAAGGACCTCAAAAGTATGGTAAAGTCAATTAGGAGCCGAGGGTTAAAAAAGAGAAACACAAAAAAAAAATATACAAAGGAATAGTGAAAAAAAAAAAAAAAAAAAAAAAAAAAAGGAAAAATTTACGACACCAGCAGGATTCGAACCTGCGCTCCCGAAGGAAATGCCTTCGCTTACGGTTGAAGACCACATAGCAGGGCACCGCGTTAACCACTCCGCCATAGTGTCCACTGTTATTGATAATCGCCTTTCTCATTAATATTTGTGTTACTTGTAGCGCGCGGCGCTAACGCCAAAATCTACTTCTGAATGTTAGGAGTTTATTTCATTGTTGGAATAGGATGTCGCAATCAGCTACACGGACTTGCTGATGAGATTTGACTAGATTTTATATTTATTCTTTAATGGAGGCATGAAGGCATTGATCCTGAGCTTGTACGTATTTTAATGCTAGCATAGCATCTGTAAATTCGGATTCCAGGTACTGTGTTCTACCCGCGGACCCACAGGATGGTCCTCTTAGCTACGGTTGTGGTTCTATTCATCTGGCGGTAGGTCCAGGTCCACAACCAGAGGATTGTTAAATCTTTTACCCCCTCTATGCGGCCAGTTAGTTGCCATGATAGCTGCATTGACGATACATGTTTCATTCCTCCCGGGCGTGCTCGCGTTACTTTCTGCCGGTAGCGGCGCATGATACGCGGTATACGTGGGTAACAGAGGCGTCAATGAACCATCGTTCTGAAGGCGATGCTGTATTCTCCCCGTAAGATCGATCAGGTTTTGCTTTTTGCTGCCAAGTGGAGGCAGTTCTCCACGGGCTGAGCTCAATTCCTGGAACGCTTCGCTTTGGGGTGCGGTATTCCACCGAACTCTATCAAATCCCCGACCTTCATGCACATGCCCGCAAACAGCTAAACGTGGTCGAACTCTCCATAGAGCTTGACGCAAGTATTCGCAACCGAGGGAACCGCGCTTATTCTGGTCACAGTGGGACCTAGGTGGAGTGTGAGTCAGGACAATATCAGTGTCTTGGGGTATTTGTGTCCAGATTCCGGGAGCTTCTTCAGAAGTATATCCAAATGCCCACTTTCCGCAGTATGGAGTGTACGGCGACCCAAATATTTTGAATTTTGATCGCGGCCCATCCGGTCTAGATAGTCGAATAACAGCAGATTCATGGTCTAAATAAATAATTGAAGATTTCAAGAATAAGTCCTTGCATTCATTTGATGACTCCGGCTTATGGTTATGGAACGATTGCCAGTGCAATCCGTAGAAATTACTGTCGAGGGTGATGTCATGGTTACCTTTGGATACATCGGAAATATATTAGTTTGTCCTTCAAAGATTGTTTGCTAACGAGGAAATCGTATCTAACCTGCAATAACTATTTTCACTTCAAAATCAGCACTCTCGATCCATTCTTTAGCTTTGCGTAGTTCACTCAAGGTCCCTTGGTTCGACAAGTCACCAGCATGAATAAGGACGTCGCCTTTTGGCAGTTTGAAGGCACCATCTTGCGGTCCATATCCATGCGTATCTGAAACACAAACAATTCGGATTCGAACCATCTTTTCTTTAAGAAACGCGGTGATACCCTGCAATCCAAAGCTGCTAAGCCGAAGGACTAGAGTTATGGTGATAGTTCATGCCTTTGATACACTTGAAATCAAAGAAGATAAAATGGATTCTCTCGCAAATGAGTTGCCAAATAGTGGGATAGGGAGGAAGCTTCGCTCGTCGAAACTAATCCTCTAATTCTGAACATAGGCGTGAAGTTGAATCCATGATTCGAGAAGTGCGCAGAATAGAGTCCACACTATGGTATTCGGTCATTCTGCCAAGGCTAAATCACGTGAACTTGGATATCTACTTCGAATGACAATGGAAGCCGAAGTTTGAATTTTTTTTGTTTGACGAGACCTCCAAAATATATATACTAAGCTTGAAAGTCTGGAGGTTCATCTAGATCAGCCAATTTTTTTAAAGCTCCATAATATGTGTCATCGCCAGCGATCATAAGAGCTGGGCTTCTTTCTGCCTTGAATTGGTTGGCTTTTAAAACGAGAACTTGAGTCGGCACAAGAGACAATTAGGGCTCTCCCTTCATTGGAAATTCTTCTAGAAAATGAAGGGCTCTGAAAGAAGCCTGAAATGATGTGATTAGGTCATTAGATGCGCAACAATTGCGATCGTACTTCCAGGTGTTTGTAAATAGGGATGTCGAGGAGTTTAGGAACTTTTGCAACGCCAATGGTTCTCTTCTATTGCACAGAAAACCATATGCATAACGTAGGCATTGGGTATTAAAAATGTTGAGAACTTGTACTCCATGTAGTCCGTCTTACCCAGAGTCTATATAACGGTTAGAACCGTTTGTACGGGCTGGAAGAGTAGATGAAGCGAGGTCGGCGTATCATTGGTCAACAGCAACGAGAGCTAGATAGATATGACCGTGGAACATGAAAGAAAATATTTATCATACGGCAAGAGATAGATAGATATCACAACCAGTAACTCAAGAAGATTGATTGAGGTCGGGACAGGTATGTATAGACACTTCCCAATATTTACCATGGATCTTGTTGACGTCGAGAAAGGAATAACTAACATCAGTTAATAACTAGTTAACTAGTTAACTGCTCAGTTAAAAGTAGTTAAAAAGAAAATAAATGCTTTATGCACAAATAAGACCATAGTCACGTGATGAAGATGCTTCTATTGGACAACTTAGGGCTTCCGCGTTCGCTTTCCACACAAAATAGCCTCGCTTAGCCATTTCCGCCCATCGAACCTCTCCGACTTCGTGGTTTGAAGGAGACGACCAACGACAGACAACGACTACGACACCCAACCCGACAGTACACTACACAAGGTGTATCCCCGAGCATAGCTCATCGCCTTGCTCGATATTTGCCTCGTGAACCAGTGACAGACAGGATGTCCACCTTCGAGCCAGTGGTGCGTTTACTTTATCTCGTCGCTTCTACAATAAGGACCTGAGAAAACTGACTGGGAATTTTGTGATGAATATAGGTCGTCATCGACGGCAAGGGACATCTCCTTGGTCGCCTGGCCAGCATCGTGGCCAAGCAGTTGCTCAATGGCCAAAAGATTGTCGTTGTGCGATGTGAAGCACTCAACATCTCTGGCGAATTCTTCCGCGCTAAACGTACGATATATCTTCCCCCCTCTCTCGGTTTTTGGATCTGGTTAAAAAAAAGGGCATTTAAGGCATGGGAAACCGGGAAAGTTGGGGATGTATGGATATTGCATCATGGAATTTTGCGACTGACTCCATTTCTTTCTTCCTGCAGTGAAGTACCACGCCTATCTGCGAAAGATCACTCGTTTCAACCCAACTCGGGGGGGTGAGGCAAACTTCCGATCCCGATACCTACGTGACAGGTGACAGACCCACTAATATCTGGTTGCAGGTCCTTTCCACTTCCGTGCTCCTTCCCGTATCTTCTACAAGGCCGTCCGGGGCATGATTCCCCACAAGAGCTCCCGTGGTGCCGCCGCCATGGAGAGACTGAAGGTCTTCGAGGGTGTCCCACCACCATATGACAAGAAGAAGAGAGTTGTTGTCCCCCAGGCCCTCCGAATTCTCAGGCTGAAGCCCGGCCGTAAATACTGCACTGTTGGACGGTTGAGCCACGAGGTTGGCTGGAAATACCAGGACGTCGTTGCAAGGTCAGTCGCCAGCAAACATCTCCGTCATGGAGATCACGGATATTTATTCTTACGATTTTGGATTTGAATGGTTTGCTAACGACGATTTTTTCATCGGATATTTAGACTCGAGGAGAGGAGAAAGGTCAAGGGTTCCGCATACTACGAGCGCAAGAAGGCCGCGCGGAGACAACTTGCGCAAGCCCAGAAGACTGCCAATGTCGATCAGAAGACAAAGGATCAATTGGCGGAGTATGGTTATTAGATTTCTGTGGGAGGAGGTGTGGGGAGGCTGGCTTGGGTTCATGCGGGTAGAGCTGGGTGCAATGTGGACAGCAAACCCATCGGCCTGTACCTATACTATCACGAAAATACATTTAATGAATCAAGGGCAGAGTGTTCGCAGAAGGAAAAGGGAAAAGACCAAAAACTTTGATTTTCTTTTTTTACTGGGTGCCGTATTGGAAGGAATCCTTGTTCATACATACTTCATTATTACCTGTCTCTCTAAATTATTCCATGGCGCTTAAACTAAATGATTTCTTTCTCAAAAATGACTTAGCACATTTTATGGTGTATGGTGTGTGAACCTCTCCCCTGCTGGTAGAATTATTTTGTAGTCACAATAATGATGCTGTGATGGTACGTGTTAATGAGGAACGAACCTGGAGAATGCCGGGGCCGACTTAATTTTGTGGGGTGCCACTCCATGTGATTCGGTGCAAACTCGGACGCGTGGAACGGCTACCAAATTTCATGGTCACTCTGATAGCCGAATGAGAGACCTGGCAAATGTTAAAAGGGCTCAGTTAATCCTTTTTTCCCTCCGTCTTTTTAATTTTTTTTTTTTCTTTTTCTAATTTTCTGGTCGTAATTATTCATATATTTGCCATTGTATGTTTTGCTCAGCCACTTCATCGACATGTCTAGTGCTGCAAATCGTTTGCGCAATCTCACGCAGCATTTCCTCTCCGTAAGGAGCCAGGGCGCAGAAGCCCAAGGGGATCAGTTTTCTCATAATTTCAATCGACATGCGCTCTCTCCCACTTTTTTCCTTCCGCGCGCTGCATCAATCGAACCAGATGTATGACACTCTGCTTTGTTTCGGTATTCGTTCTGTCTTACTGATCGGAAATCCTTCGCTATCAACAGGCCGAAGCAATCTACCACGTCACCGCGAACAACAAGGTCCTCAGAAGATCGTATATTGAGACAGCAGATCGGGCTCGGGGATTTGCATATTATTTGAAAAAATATGGTTTCAAAAGGGTTGGGATATTATGCCCTAACACCCCGGCATTTTTGGAATCGATTTTCGCTATCGCTGCGGCGGGCGCAGTTAATGTTGGTATGATTCTCAACCTGGAACTACTTCCTCTGGTCTTCGTGTGCTAAATTGAAGCTTCAGCCGTGAATTACAGATTAAAACCCGAAGATATTGCGTACATATTCAATCATTCCGAAGCAGAAGTCATCATCGTCGATCAAGAATTTCTCCCGCTTCTCGTTGAGTTCAGAAAGACCTACCCACATATACCTCTTATCATCGACACGGACACAGATGCTATAGAAGGTGAACTTAGTGGACAATTCGACCAAGCAGTATTGGAAGGCCTTAACTTTGATACTGCGTCTGGAAGCCATGGATGGGAAGGATTGAAAGCCCAGACGGCAGATGAAGATGCCCTCATTGCGCTTTCGTACACCAGCGGCACAACTTCGCGGCCAAAGGGAGTGGAATATATCCATCGCAGCTGCTATCTGGCAACCCTCGCGAATATAATAGAATCCGGATTAAATTACAATCGGGGCCGGTGCCGTTACCTTTGGACGTTGCCAATGTTTCATGCTATGGGTTCGTTTATATACCATCTATTCTTCAAAGACTATTTCAATTCATGGGATTTCCTAATTTAACCAAATTAAATTACAGGATGGACTTTCCCATGGGCTGTGACGGCCGTCAGGGGCACACATTACTGTCTGCGCAAGATCGACTACCCCCTCATCTGGAAACTACTCAAGGAAGAGGGCATTACTCACTATTGCGCGGCTCCCACTGTTAATACCATCCTCTGCAGCTCGAAAGAGGCAGAGAAACTCCCGTCTCCCGTTCGGGTCACAGTCGCAGCAAGCCCGCCAACACCGCATTTGTTCGAGCAAATGACTAATCTCAACCTACACCCGGTCCATGTCTACGGGCTTACCGAAACGTACGGCCCAATTACGAAAGGTTATTACTTACCTGAATGGGATACGATTCCGGCACAAGATAAATATGAGAAAATGGCACGACAGGGCCATGGGTTCCTAACCAGTCTTCCGGTCCGTGTGATCAAGACAGAGGTTCCTGAAGGGACGATAATCGACGTAGAGAAGAATGGGAAGGAGATTGGTGAGATTGTCTTTGTGGGGAACATTTGCGCTAAAGGGTACTATAAAAATGTGGAGGAGACGAAGAAGCTCTTTAGCGGAGGAGTGCTCCATTCAGGGGATCTGGCCGTCTGGCATCCGGATGGATCCATAAAGATCCTAGACCGGGCTAAGGACATCATCATTAGCGGTAAGTCATCTTTGGGAAATCACAGCCATCCTCTTTTCTTTTGTGTCTGTGATTCTGTGAAATGCTAAGGATTTTAATGTCATTTTGTAGGCGGAGAGAACATATCCTCTATTGCTTTGGAGTCCATGCTTGTCACACACCCGGACATTCTCGAAGCGGGAGTTGTAGCTGTACCTGATTCTCACTGGGGAGAGCGACCCAAGGCATTCATCACGGTGAAGAGCGGCAAACAGCTTGGGGGCAAGGATGTGATTGAGTGGGCAAAACATGTGAGCGGCATCAGCCGATTCATGGTGCCCAGGGAAGTGGAGGTTGTGCCGGAACTACCCAAGA